TCTGTGGCTGACCAAGCTGAAGAAAAGCCTCGGACGTCACCTCCACGTAGCTTGATGCCGAACTGCGGGGTAATAGCGACACATCAGAAATTGCTGTCTCCGTGTGACTCGATGCCGGAGTGAAGGGAGGTGAGACCATAAGAGTTGCGGCCTCGGAGATGTCCTGGGGAACTTTACACAGGACTGACTCTGGCCCAGGAGAATCCTTTGTACTTGGTTCTCAGTCACCTGGAGCAGCATGCTCGGGACCGGGAGGATCCTGTACCATGGAGGTCGGTCTTTGGGAACCTGTTACTGCAGGCTCAGGTACAGCAGTTGGAAGTAATCCAGGAATGTTTACTGGAATTGCTGTAGGAACCACAGGAAACAGCTCGTCTTCTTTAGACCACGACGACCTGGCCTTTTGAGGATGCAACAAAGTATGTGTTAATTTTGCTGTGTTCCAAGTTGTTCCGTCGTCCAACCTTTACGTTGCTGGACGAACTTGATGGTAAATTCTTTGTGGCGATGAGTACGTCATTTGAAGTTTTCCTTTGTGTCTTGGCTTAAAGACCTTCGCTGTGTGTCCAGGGGCAAAAGATGGTTGTTTCACGGTACGCCATGAGTCGGAATACCTTTTCATCTTCTTCTGGTAGCTCTTGACCAACGTAGGGAGCTATTGTTGAACTGTGTTTCTATGATGACAAGGTTCGGGAGTTGCTCGATTTGTGAAATGCAGGCGTGTACAATGATTTCAACCGTGCAAAAGGAACGCAGGAGTTTCTTTTATAACAGCATGACAAGTGTTACGGTAGAGTCCATACATGGGTAAATTACTTTCAAAATGTAATTTAATTACAATTACTTAGCTCCCAATGTAGTTTAACTACAATTACAATTACTACTATGCGAAAGTAGTTCATTACAATTACAAATTACTTTTTAAAAGTAATGCAGTTACTTTACAATTACTTATTTCTGAGAGTTACCCACCTTTGACCGTATAACTGTAAACAAGTTATATGGCCGCTGTATAAATGTCACGCATTGTACTTTTCTTTTATGAAATTTGTTAAATGGATTATAGAACTTCATATTTTGGAGTAATGAACTCCTGCGTTCTTATATTCTCGAAAAATGAAAAATAAATGGCGACAAAATTCACAGGTACGAGGTGAATCTGCTTAGAGCTTATGCAAATGGTATCCAAGTCAAACCAACAAAAATAAACTTAAAAAAATAATACAAGGAAACAAATATGCGACAGTACTGGTATCATTAAACTCACGTAAAAATGGCTAATAAGAGAAACTTGTAAACGACGTCAAACATTTAAAGAATACTACAACTTACGAAAACATTTCAGCCACGATGATTCGCTGCCTCTCCCTGTCTGTGGACTTGTAACATGCCGGATGTGGGTAACCGTAGCACGCGAACTGTGGTCGCTTCCACAAAACTAGTGTCACAATAGCAGCGCCTCTATTGCCAGGGATTCTGGGTTAATTCAGTGCAAGGTAACACCCAAAAAGCTCCTGAGATAGATAATAAATTTAGGATCGTCATGTAGCTAATCATTAGGATAGCAATGATTGTATCGATGTTATGCGTCTCATAAAGAAGACCGATTTGAATTTAGCATGGCAAGAACAACCTCGAAAAGGTAATGATACACTGAAAACGACTTTATTTTCGCAAATTTCGCGAATCGCCTACAATTCGTGAAAAATAAGTCCTGCGAGCAATTCCGGTAAAATGTAAACACATTGGAATCTATATTGCGACCCCACCGCGTTACTAACGTTAAAATCCGCGAATTAATCCAAAACTGCGGCCTCTTGGACGCCTCGATTTTATGAGTTACTTGAGCGTGTTTCAGCTGGAAGATATAGACGAGCCATTAATATTATTTTTCTATAACTGTAAGTAATATTGAAAGTGACAAAAAAGTTGCCTACCTGCAAATGTTTCCGCAAATTGGAGGTAGCCTTTCGGTTTGTTGAATTTGTTTTCAGAGAGGGTGCGGAGAGTTTGCACCTCACGATTATATTTTTTACATTGCTGGTAATCTGTTTAAAGAATTTTTCTTAACAAAACCCCGGCAGCCTTTCCTTTTCCATTGTAGATAAGACTGTAGCTGGTTCTCAATGCAAAGCAGCACTGCGCGCCTTGGGACGGTTCCACAGGCCAGGACGAGAGGACAACGCGTGGAGGGTCACGATAGAGGTGTAAAAACAAAGTGCAAGCCAAGCCCTCTATAAAAAAAAAAAAAAGCATTCAACGAACAACAAATGTAAAACCTAGCTCCCTACAGTCAAGCCGCGGTTTGTAAGTTTTGGAATCTCGTCCAATCAGGCTGACAAACGGTTGAAAGGGTTAGGTAGAGCGAACACTAAATAATGAAGATTTATACAAAAAGATAGACGAGGATTGGGAGAAGGAAGAGCAGTGTAGCAACAACAGTTGGAAATAAGGCAGGGTGAGTCGTGTTGATGAGACCTGCTGCTTCTTTGCTTCTTCGCCTCGATGTTAGAGTAGCACGACTTACTGTTAGTGGTACCAACATACGAGATAGAGGAGAAGGACGTGAAAAACTCATAAAGAAAAGAGAATAATTTCATGAACAAAAAAGTCCCCAAACTTGACTGAAATATGTAAGCGAATATGCTAGCGGCGGAGACGCGTAAGGAGAACCTCGAACCTCCCCGCCTCGACCGGATGATGTGATCGGAGCCAACCAGCTCGACTTCGACCCCCGATGCCGCCGTGTGGGAATGAGAAATAAGAAAAACCCCTAGAAACAGGAGCAACAGGAAGCGAACGAGACAAAGAGTCAGATTCAACTGCGACAGGAACGAAAACGGACGCGAATGTAGCCCTCATTTATCAAATTATTTCTCAAATTCTTCATTAAATCGTTTTACAGTCTACAAAATCCTTCATTCCGTTCTATCCCAGCCTCTCTTTCCCATTCCTTCTTTCCCTCCTTTTGAGCAGGTTGGGACACACTCTCTCCACTCGCTTTGGCTGTACTATTGTCTCCGTGGCCAGGGGGAAAAAGCGCCGCCGCCACAAAATCTTGCGAAAGTAATTGTAGTTGTGCCTGAAGTTTAGCAATTACTGATGCTAGAAAGTAATTAAATTATAATTACAATTTCTTTTAGCCAAAAGTAATTATTACAATTACGAATTACCAGGAAAAGTAATTAAATTACAGTAATTCAATTACTATAATTGAATTACTACCCAAATATGCGGGTAGACATCCAAATACTCAACGACGGCATCATTTAGACGGCGATGTTGTACCAAAGCTAGCTGAAAGATTGACTTCGGAATGCGGTTACATCTTTCTACCTGCCCATTTCGCCTGAGGGTGGTAGAGGGACGACTTCACATGCCTTATTCCATGAGTTCTCGAGAACTCTGCAAACTCCCTTGAGGTAAACTGTGGACCATTGTCCGTGGTTTTTTCTTCCGGAAATCCCTCCCGGGCGAAGATGGACCACAGGAAATCAATCACCGAAGCAGTTGTTACGCTCTGGACCGCAGCCATCTCCGGTCACTTGCTGTGGTAGTCAATCAAAGCTATAAAAAAAGTTTGTTATGTGGAGCACGTTCGAAATGGCCAATGATGTCCATTCCCAACCTCATTCATGGACGAGAGGGAAACTCGACAGGCTGCTGGGGTGCAGGGGACGCCTTGGCAGGCTTGTCTGTCGCCTGACAAACTGTACAATTCTGGACGAATTGTTTGATGTGCTGATTGATGTGAGGCCAACAGTAGAGCTCCTTGATGAGGCTCGTGGTCCTTGTTATCCCTTGATGAGTCTCATGGCCAATCTCGATGACGTGGTTGTGCAAGCTAGAAGGAACGACAATCCTTTCTCCTTGGAACAAAAGTCCATCGATCTCGGAGAGCTGATCACAAACATCATCATGGGCTAGCATGTAGTTTTATGGGACAACATTGTGACGAAGAAGATGATCATCCACCTCCCATAGCATGTTCCTGTTGAAGTAGATGTCAAATCATTGTGTCCTGGCATTTATGGGTAGCTAGACCATTTGATAGGGGAAAAATAATAACATCATCAGATTGGGTTGTCCATTCCATTCAAAGTCCAGTATGCTTTCTTGTATTTTGCCGAATGTTAAGAAGGGGCACTGGTCTTGGAGCTTTTATGACCAAACCCAATGAAACTGCACAAGCTTACTCAGCTTTTAGTGCTGATTTCAAATATTTGGTAATTTTTCGAGTCAGTAGAATTGTCCTCAAGATAATTAAAACTCGCCTGTGTTTGGAGGAACAATAGGAAAAAAAGTACCCAACAAAATATACTCTTTAACACATGGCTAGATACTACGAAGTGTAGAAAATGCAATGCTGGAAGCACTTTTAAGATTAACCTATTAGTGATTTCGTCACATATTAAAGTTCAGTGCTCAATGTGTCGCTAAATGAAACAAAAGATCAATTGAAAAAATTCTTAAACCTATATTAAGAAGTCTGCTCTCAACATTGTAGGCTTCACAGATTTAGCTACATGTTTCAGGAAAAGCTATATTTCTATCTGCTCTAGATGCTAAGATATTTATCCTGAATATTTTCAACAAGTCCAAAAATTGTGTTTCGTGAAAACGGTGTGTTAGAGTCAACTTCGATGCACGCTCAGCCTGCATAGACATTATAAAATGATTTATAGCTCAAATATTCGTCCACGAAATTAGAAACCTGGTAGATTAAAAAAAATAACAGCTGAAGAGGTCAACCGTCAACATTGCTGTTTTCAAAAGAATTAAGTTTTAGGAATTTTGGGCCTCCAAAGATTCTTGTCCCCCCTTAAAGAGGTGTTTGTCAGTTTCTGTGGATCACTGTATTTGCCTTAGGTGCATAAAGATTTGGAGCACCAACATATAACATGGCTTTTAAACCGGTCGAAAACTCGGGTGGGGGTTGGGAGCAGGCTTAGTAGGTCTACCGAAAAAAAACATTGCTTCCTTTTCTTTCTCTTGCAAAGTGGGAAGCTGACCTCCCCCAAGTGGAAGACATTCAAAGGGCTGAAGCTGAGGCTGAAAGACAAGATCCGGCTGAACAACATTATCTGGCGGGCATGGCACATGCAATGTGAGTAGCCGTTTCAAGGGCTTTTATCACTAGAGGCTTACAAAAATAGCTTCTGGGCTATCTCTGCCTTTCCGTGCTGTTTCTCACAATGGTGGACTTTACCATATACCCGTGGACAACTTCCTGTGACAATTCAGAGAAAGGGAAGAGTGCAAATTAACAAACAAAATTGTGCATTTGCATAGTCCCAGGGCTCATCTTGCCTTAAAAAGTGACACTAGTTTTTGTCAGTTTTTGAATTGAAATTTTTGTTTTACAGAGATTAACTTTTTTGATATGACAAGGTAGACCAGTCATTGACTTAGCAAGGAAGTACTCTATAGGGACAAATTAGTTTATGCTCATGACAAATATTTTTCTTTTTCTTTTTTGGTGGTGCATCTAAAAGTAAAAGGCATTAGAGGGTTAGTAAAAGCTGTGGTGGTGTCACATTCAAATTTTCGAAACGGCAGCAAGTAATATTGGAATGTTTTGCCACAATAAATACTATTAGATTTTTATTAAGGTGAAAGCCTTACTTGCCCCATTGCACAAAAAAGAGGTATCGTTGTGCCCAAAAGATGGCCGTAAAAATGTGTCATCAAGCCTGTGCCGCTCAATCGTATGCTCAAGGATGATGTCATCCTTGGCGTCGCCCTTGAGGTCTTGAGGTTGTTCTACAGGTTGTCCCAGACGTCGTCCTCAAGGCGTCGTTTTTGAGGTCGTCCTCTAGGTGTCGTTCTTGGCGGCGTCCTTGAGTTCATCCTAGAGGTTGCCCTAGACGTCGTTCTTGACGTCGTCCTAGAGGTCATCTTAAACGTCATCATCTAGGCATCGTTCTCGACGTTGTCCTAAAGGTCGTCCTTGAGGTTGTCCTCGTCCTCGTTCTCGTCCTAGTGGTCGTCCTGGATGTTGTCCTAGACGCTGTACCTGGCGTCGGTCTTTAGAGCGTCGTCCTATATGTCGTCCTCAACTTTAATATGTGTAGAAACATTACTCGAAAACATTTCTCCCGCGGGACTATAACTCTTTCGCTTTCCTACATGTAAGCAGTCTTAAAGGTACTCTTGAAATTTGTTTTTACTGGACCCGTGAAACTCTCCAGGGCCTTTGCAGAAAGAAGTAGTACAGACATTTATGTGGATTGGGGTTAGCATGTTTTAAAATGCTTTAGAACTTATATTGTGCCTTTTTTAAATATTTCCAGAGATTGACTGGTGGTGTGTGCAAAACTAGAGCTACAGACCTTTTTTAATTGGCCCTCTATCAAGCCTGTCTAGAACCAAACCTGACTCTGTAATGGTGGCATTAGTATTTCACTTTTGTCCATACCAGCAAAAGTGAACGTCTTCAAAAGCATAAAACAGAAAGGGGGAAAATTTATTATGCAGGTCTCTAATAAATATATTATGACGATGACGATATTCTAATAAGGTGATCCTTGTATGTTGTCTTTGATTTGCAAAGTCAAGGGTGCTTAATTCACAAGGTGATCTTGTTTTCCTTAAGCGGTATCTCATCAATGTAGACAGCTCCGTTCCCCACAAAACCGCCCATTATATAACTTGTCCATAATAAAGAGACAAAAATGTGTTTATTTACCCAGTTTGTCCCCAAACATTGTTCTCGATATGGTGGGGCATCCATAATAACAGGGTCCATATTAATGTGAACTGTGTCGTTGTCTTTAGAGGGAAAATCTTGGAGATTTTGAGAGTGTCGCTAGGTGACTCTGACTTCTGTCGAAGGTCTCTGTATCTCCAGTCTCCACTATTATCAAAACAGTTACAAGCAGAATCCAATCTTTAAACATCACTCTTGCGTCCTGCTTTATCCTGTAACTCTGGGTTCCGAGCGGGAAACAAACAAGAGTCCTTCAAATATGAAAATATTACTTTTTAGCATTCTAATTTAATCTGTTTATCATTATTCTTCTGCTCCAGTTGTTGCCCGAAGAAGTCCATATGTCTGCCAGTTTGCATCACCCCTTGAAGGAGATGCCCACAACAAACCGGAGGTAAGCTCTTTCTTGGAGGTCCGCTGAATTTTTTTGCTCTGGTTTTTGTGCCAGGATGCATCCGTCTCGTTTGCTGTTTTGATATGGATTAACTTTATCTTTAAAGCTACATGTCTTCTACCTATGAACACTCTCTGACACAACTTTTCTGGGGCACATTGTGTGACAGCCAAAAATAATGTATATATCAACTTCCTTTGCTCTTTCCTTTTCTTGGTCAAGAAGCAGCCTAAATCTTAATAAAAACAGAAAGAATTAACATAGGGACGGACAGAAAAACACCCCTTGAAGAGGTGCTGTTCTGTCCGTCCCGATGTTTATTCTTTCTGTTTTTATTTAACTTCACCTACACGCTCACGTCGAACTAAGTCTAAATCTGTTTTGCTGTTTCATCAGTGGTGACCGAGTTTTTTTTTCTCTATAGGTGTTAATAATAATTCTCCACCAGGTAACCTTGCAGCACAACCTTAGGGGCTAGCCATGTCCGTATGCCCGTCCGCCGTCGTGTGCACGTGCTCCTTCTCGTGAGCTTACGCGCTCACGTGATCACGTGCTCCCATGCTCGTGTAGTGCAAAAAAAAAAACAAAAAAAAAAACTCATCTCCACACATACCTCGGCAAACCTCACTCATGAGGGCCCTCACTCACCCTCACTCACCCTCATCTTCACAGGTGAGGTGAGGGTGAGTGAGTTTCTGAACCAGGAAAATTCATGAGTGTGAGGGTGAGTGAGGGCCGTGAGGGCTGTGAGGGCTGTGAGGGCCGTGAGGGCCGTGAGGGCCGTGAGGGCCGTGAGCGCTGTGAGGGCCGTGAGGGCCATGAGGGCGGTGAGGGCGGTAAGGGGTATGAGGGCCATGAGTGCGTGAGGGCCGTGAGGGCGGTGAGGGCGGTAAGGGGTATGAGGGCCATGAGTGCGTGAGGGGTGTGAGGGCCATGAGTGGCGTGAGGGCTGTGAGTGGCATGAGAGGCGTGAGGGCCATGAGGGTGAAGAGTGCATGAGGTGGTGTGAGGGCCATGAGGGCGGTGAGTGCGTGAGGCCCCCTTCAGATCGAGCATCTTCCTCAGCAATTTTGGTGTTAATGGCGGGTTGTTCTCTAGCTTTCCCTAGATCGACACGAATTGCTGAGATCGGGTCCCGCTCGAAATAAGCAAGCAACTCGGAGCAATTCAAATACGTTTGAAGCGGCTGCATCTAATCAGGGACGCAAAATTTTCACGTGATACCTCGTGCCGGTGATGATGACACCGAAAGACTTGGTTCTCGTTTGAAATCGGTCGTTTTTTAGAAGTAAACTGTTTCAGAAAGGGGCATTAGTATTCTTAATGGGATTTAAATGCATAAAAACATGTTTATAGCGCGTAATTGTGTCTAAATAGTGCAAGAAAAATGAAATTTTATGATGATGATGGCAAATTGCAGCAATTGGTTGCTGCGTGATCGCGGGCGGCGCGTGTTGCTGGTGTTGCGACGTAAAGTTTCTGGCCGAAATTGCCCCATCTGAAGCTGGCCTGAGTGGCATGAGGGCCATGAGTGCGTGAGTGGCGTGAGGGCGGTGAGTGGCGTGAGAACGGTGAGTGGCGTGAGGGCCGTGAGGGCCGTGAGGGCGGTGAGTGGCGTGAGGGCTATGAGTGCGTGAGGGCCGTGAGGGCGGTGAGGGCCGTAAGGGCCGTGAGGGCCGTGAGTGGCGTGAGGGCGGTGAGTGGCGTGAGGGCGGTGAGTGGCGTGAGGGCCATGAGTGAGTGAGGGGCGTGAAGGCCATGAGGGCGGTGAGGGGCGTGAGGGCCGTGAAGGGCGTGAGGGCGGTGAGTGCGTGAGGGCCGCGAGGTTCAGTGAGGGTGAGTGAAGGGCTGAAGGTGAGTGTGAGGGTGAGGGTGAGTGAGGGGCTGAACGTGAGTGTAGCTGTGAGGGTGAGGGTGAGTGAGGGGCTTAGGTGAGTGTGGCTGTGAGGGTGAGGGTGAGTGAGGGCGACCTCAAATGCCGACCTCTGTCTCCACATGGTGAATGATGTTGATTGGGGCGAAGCTCTGGTGGTGCTTGTCTGCGTAGACGGTGAGCCGCAGCATGCCGAGCCTTTCGTTCGTTTTCATCCATGTCAGAAAGAGAATGTGTGGTATGGAACGTGGTTATATACGCATTTGAGCATTTGACCGCAGCGTGACATGGATGAAAACGAACGAAAGGCTCGGCATGTTGCGGCTCAGCGTCTACGCAGACAAGCACACCAGAGCTTCGCCCCAATCAACATTATTCACCACGTGGAGATGCGGTTGTTTTTGTTATTTCTCCTATTAAAACAATATTCCGATCAATTTTGTGTGCAGTCCGAAAGCCGCATATGTCTAGCAGGTGTAGCATTCCTTCCTTTTAAAGTTGGCAATCAAAAGATGCTGCAGAGTGCAAGGTATGTCACATAGAATAATGTATGTTTTGCTTGAGGCTCTTCAAAGGTTTCTTGGTGCTAGCTGCGGTTTGTTTGATGTATTTGTGTGGTATAGACTTTCCTATAAAAGGGATTCATACTGCTACCATTACACTTCGGAGTAAGCGTACACTCTCGCAGCCCCCTCTCCACTCCATAGTTTTATCAGCCTCAAAGCAGCTCGGCATGCATCGAAAGCCACACACTCAGGCGTTCCCGCTCATACTGTTTGTGATGGTACTCTGCTCCTATTGTGGCTCTTTTGGGGCCTTTAGTATGTCGCATAAATAAATAATTAAGTCAATAAACAGTCCGTGCAACAACTAAATGCTTTGTGCTGCAAAGACCATTATTGATAGTAAAAGCAGTATGCTTATTTTGGCTAAGGAAATATACTTATTTTCTTAGCCGAAATGTGCTTATTTCAGCCTGCAGTGTCACGTGTAACGAGGATGCGACGACACTAAGGTTGCCCATTCAAACCAGTCATTTTCCTCTACATTTGATTTGAGAGGATGGGATGCACCTGTAGGAAGCCTTCGCACTGAATGGAACACAAAGTATTACGCATAATTGCTTTGAAACACGAAACCTAATCCAAGGAAGGCTTTAGAAAGTTAATAAAAATGAGACAATGACAACAAGACCTTCCTTGTTTGAACTCCTTTAGCATGCTGGGTTTTCGAAGCCAACCGCAATCTGTTAATAAATTTCTCGTTTCCCCACACCTATGAATACCTCCAGAAAAATGGGGCCTATTCTTCTCTGTGTGCAGTCTTTCTCTGTTTCACGATGAGCTTGCTGCACGTCACAGTCTCGCTCTAAGTCTGATTTCCTTTTTATTGATCTGTTTGACTCACAATATTTTGACACCCTGGAAGAAGTTTGTCCCTCTCTCTCCCTCCCACGATTCCCAAGTTTACGGCCGCACGCCCAGATAGCGAGGCTTACGAGTGCATAATCTGAAGGAGGCCGGCCCCATTATCTCTTCCCGGCCAGTCGATAGCCCCTTGGCATACTCCCCCTTCCTCCTCAGCCTGCTATGCCGCTTTTTTTTCTCACGGTGCCAAGATGCGCAGATCTAGCAAGCCAGCAAGGAGGTGCCTTGCGTAAGGCACAAAGGGCACAAGGCACACCGCCTTTGTTTTCTGACCTAGAGACGCTATCTTGTCCTTCTCTTGTCAAAGGCTTCTATTTGTGTCCACTTTTACTTTTTTTCTTTTTGTCATGAGGGAGAAACGAGCATCGTCGTTGTGAGGGCGGCTCGTTAAGCAATCTGTTGCAATACAGGGATGGTTTGGCTACCATGCTTGTGTGGCACCATGAAGTGATTGTGTTTGAATGAAAGACAAGCATCTGAAAGTCTAAATACAGCAGGAAACATGTGATTGGGGTTAGCACAGATTCATAGCAAGTGTTGTATGTACAATCTTTTCACTTAAGAGATTGCACAGTTGTGAAGTTTTTAAAGGTAGGTAACACTCGAACTACGCTGTGTGGTAGTTCAAAGGTTTAATTGTGGGTCATTGCTAACCCCGTGACTTCTAAGTTGTATGCTTTTAGGAATATTTTTGAAATTATGTATGAAGATGTGTAGGTACTTTAGCCAGCTGCTTATCAGTAACTATTGTGTGCAGCTTGTTAGTGACGGTTAGAATTAATTTGTATTCATTTGAACAGCAGGGAAATGGGATTCATTCGGCTACCTTGCCTAGAAAATTTAATCCCTGTTGTCGGCATTCCAGGTGGAATGCCGACAATGCCAAGAGAAAACTAAAACTCGAGTGCAGTGTCATGTTTTAAGATTGGGATATTTGCTGCTTTTCTCTTGCAGGCCATTGTTATGGAGGGCAAGTATTGGAAGCGCAAGGTCAGCAACATCACTGCCGAATACAAAAAGTGGAGGTTGTACTTCTGCAAGAAGAACTCGTACTGCAAGACTGGGGATGACTCGATCGCCGTGAGTTGGAGGCCTTTGTGCTCTAACTTCCTGTTCAGTCGTGCTACAGTTTTTTTTGTGTGTGTTTTTATTTTGTAATTGCATGCTCCGAATCTCTTAGGGCTCGGGCTTTTACTGATCTCAAAAGTATATCTGCGTTGTATTCAAAATTTATGGGGAAATCTACATGAAAAGAAGACTGCAGAAATGAAACTTTTCTTTTATGTTTATCTCGGTCTCAGGTCCAGCCTGTGTAATTTGCACAAGCTTGTTTCTAGCTTAACTTGTTCAGTGTAAAACATGCCTAGCCAATAAATAATCAGAGGTGGGTCTGTATCAAGAAACTTGTGAAGAAGATATTCTAGTGAAAATTTAGGAATTACTTAAAGGTGTGCTCACTGCAGCATGTAGCACTATAGGCTTTGAACCCACTTTAGATAGTTCGCAAATATCTGTATCTCAATGTACTGTGCTGCGATTTGCTAGGGGGTGCAGTAAGGAAGTGGAAGCTTGGAGTGAAAATAGCAATAAATGAATGTGCCTTGTTCAAAAAGTAAAGAAAAAAAAATCTGTTTTGGGTAATCTACAGGAGCATTTGCAAACGGTGTCATGATTGTGCTCACCGAGTTGTATGTGCCACCAACAGATGTTGGAAGTGTTGCGGGCGCATTAGCAGACGATCTTCGAAAGTTTTCACCACGCCGGTGCTGTCTTCCTAATGTACAATTTTTGAAAGTGCTATAATTTATTCATCATTAAAAGGGCAAACTGCAAAGGAACACAGGGATTAAAATCTCTCATGGCTCCCGATATCTGGTACGGAGATGATCGGTCGAGACTTCGCATACTCTCGTGTCTCACGTTGCTTGATCTGTCAGCAGCACATAAAACTGGGCGAGCACGGTCATAACGCTGTCTGCGAATGCTACCGCAAATTGCTCAAAATAGTTTTTTTTTTTTTTTTTTTTTTTTTTTTTTTTTTGATTGAGGCACGTAAGTTTATCCATCTATATCAGGGGTGGCCAGGCTGTCCCGGCCTAAGAGCCGCAAACAAAGCCACGAAACTTCCAAGAGCCGCATGGAAGGGGAATGGCAGAAAAGGGGGGGGGGGGGGAGACTTTTGTTTACAGCAATAAACGAAATTCGAACTATTTTCAATCTATCCGAGTCAAAAGCAGTACAACTGTATAGGTAGCAGTAGCACAAGACTACCAAACCGCTACCTGTCTCGATTTAAAATGCGTTCCATTTCTCTTTCTGGGGAAGTGCTCGAGTGTGACATAGGGGAGGCGTGTGTGTGTGTGTGTGTGGGGGGGGGGGGTGGTTAGTGGAGGGAGCCGCGAGCCGCACTTTAACACGCAAAGAGCCGCAGCTTGGCCACCCCTGGTCTATATTTTCACTTCAAGCTTCCACCACATAGCCACACTTCTCTAATAAATCCGAGCATGATACGTTGAGAAGCCTATTTTTGCAGACATTCTAAAGTGGGTTTGAAGCATTAGTGCATCTGCTATAGATTAGGTTTATTTCTTGGACACAGATATGCAAAACTTTTTCTAACAATGTGGCAGTGACAATGGTACAAGTCTTCAAATGACTTTATGACAATTTTAAAATATTTTTCTAGTACATAAAATGGAATTGAGGGCAATATGGTTGTCGTCATTCTAGACAGTCCTAGCCATGTTGTTTGCTCGTCACGTAGAAACTGATATACAGGCGAAACTGTACACATGAAAACATAATTCATATTGTTTGCTCGTCACGTAGAAACTGATATACAGGCGAAACTGTACACATGAAAACATAATTCAGGTAGGTAGCCCGTTCAAAGGAAGTGTCACCCAGCATAAATTCCCAAGGATGCATTTCGTTGAGAAGGGCAAATGTTAATGTCTAGCCTTAGTTTGGTCAGCATTGTTAAGAGTTAAAATGTGTTTTTGTCAGGAAGTCGGTTGCTGCTCAATTTTAGAATGAAATCTATCAAATAGTAAAGTGCATTGCAGAACACAGTTAACCTAAATTCGTTATTCGGTCTCCATCATATCCTACTCATGCACATCCATTAGCACCGACTGCCAGGTGTTGCGTCCCAAGCAAATTCAACACACAAGAGCAGATTTCGACACAATAGTAGTAGTTTCAGCCCAGCGAAAAAAATGACCGCATCTCCACGTGGTGAATGATGTTGATTGGGGCGTAGCTCTGGTGGTGCTGATGTTACTGATTTTGTTCATAGGTAGTGTTGATGGTGCTGATTTTTTTTTATTGCTCATAGGTAGTGCTGAGCTCTAGATTGCGTTTCGACTTCATTATTACAGCCTTATGGTCGGTGAAATGCAGCACCCTCTCCTGTATAGACGTTGAGCGGCTACATGCAACGTTTCATCCATGACATCCCCAGCTCTTGAGTTACTACCACATCTCAGAGCCCCCTACTCGTCCCGCAGTCGTGGCCGAGTGGTTAAGGCGATGGAACAGAAATCCATTGGGGTTCTCCCCGCACAGGTTCGAATCCATTCGACTGCGCAAATATTCTTTCTTTTTTTTTTAAGAAGACAGATGGGATGGCAATCGATGTGAGCACGGATGCCGGACGGACAAGGCTAGACCCTAAGGAGCTTTGCCCTAAAATGTGACGAAAACTGCCCATGAAATGTATGGTACAGATGGAAGCACATACCGAGAAACGAGAGGAGGGGTTTAAGCTCTATTACACAGATCTCACACTAGGAAAAGGATCCCCACTCTTTTCTGTTACGTTAATACGTCAAGTTCAGCAGCTCAAGGGAGGCATTTCTGACAGCCCTTCTCCCCTCGTAACCCTACCCTGCCACTGCTTAAGTGTACCTCTAGCTGCTCTATGTATTTGCGAGGACAGGCACATATTTGACTATATAATTTATTATGTTGTTATATTCTATTGAACTATATAGGGTGCTTTGTCCAGCTTGTTTTCCACAGAGCTCAATGTTTACTGAACACAAAGCTTCTAGGCTGGATTCTTTATGTCCTCTTTCTTTATCAAGATTGGGCACGAGTACTGTGTCAGCTTTCGCCCAATACTTGTGTTCTATCAGCTGTTCCCCAACTGAACACAAGCTCCAGCTTAATGCCGATGCAGAGTTTGGCTAGATCGACCAAGTGCTGCATCAAAATCGCAAACGAATAATTTGTGCTGCTGTCCCCGTGAGCTTAGTTCTCGACTTGGCCACTAGGGGTGCGACCGTTGGATCTCCTCCCCAGTAGACTGGGCAACCGCAAGGGGGTCGCACCGCGTGTGTGTTTGAGGTGGCGTCCGCGTGACAGAGTGTCCGGCCTCACGTGCCTCGCCCCACATCTGTTGGAGCAGGCGCCGGCCGACCTGGACATGCGCTGGCTCTCCCACGGGGCGCCCATGGACGAAGACTTCTTCATGGACCTCTCGGAGAGCCTGTTCAACAGCCTCAACCAGCCCTTCGACTTTCCGAACCCCCGAGAGATAGGTGCGCCACCAACGGTTGGCCGGTGGTGGCCGCAACTGCTCAAGAAATTCTTTTTGGCAAATGGACCCTCTTCAAAACCTCGTCAAGCGACGTTGGCTGTCGCCGTTTTTTTAGGGGCACGAGGCATACAATTGTGCCTGAGTTCTTGCCAAATGCCAGCGCTACCCTCGTGTCCAATGCATGCTTGGGAGTATTTGCCCAGATACGGAGGACTCAAAAAATTGGCACGGCAGTTACCGTGCTAGATGGCGTGCGCTTTTGAAAAGGGTCTATTTGGTGGGACGTGCTGTGAAAGCATAGTAAAACTTGTCTTGAAGCAGCTGTAAGGGATGTGACACTGACTGAAATGTCTGAAGTGAGGAACTGGCTAGTTGAAATGGAGCAAAAATGAGAGGGGGCCAATATATTATTATATTGGAGCAAGCCTCGTTTTGCTGTGTCGGGGAAAGCATGGCCTCTCTGTGCTATATCAGTTTGGCATCAGAAACACTTCCAAAATTATGTAGCTTCCTTTCACCAGCTTGCCTTGTGGAAGGAAATGAAGGGTGTGTGGAGGAGTCTGCACTATGAATTCCATTTAGGTGGTTATGATTCTGAAGCGTTTACAACGGGAAGGGATATTAAAATACTACCAGGAAACTGGTCTCTCGGACATGTTAGTAGAAGGATGTTGCCCACATTTTTCACTTTCTTCTACTTGGCAACATATTTTTGAGATATTTTGTATAAGTAGGAATATTCTAGTGCGGGTTAAGTTAGGACTGGTTCCCATGCTTGCGACTGCTTACAACTGTAGAGATAAACGCCAGTTTTTAAGTCTCTTGTGACTGCTTATGACTGTCTGCACAGCAGTCCTAAGTAGTAGCAAAAGGTTTGAAACCGTTTTTTAGAGCGGTGCTGTTAAAGGCTAGTTTCCCCAGGATCGTGTCCACCGGATTAGAAATGATGACACCGAACTCTGGACAGCTACTGCCATCAGTGAGCGATGGTGGCAACCAGACAACTGGTTGCCGCCATCGTTCATAGATGGCAACAACCTCTCTTCGGAGGAAGAAGAGCGGGAGCGAAACGAGCGGCGATGTGTGCAGCAACGCGAAGGGTTCTGGAACCACCGCGAAGCCGCTATCGCCTAAAGTTCCATTGTGTCGAGCGCTTCAGATTCGCTTGCACAAGAAGTACAGATCGCTCGCCTGGAAAGCCACCGCCGAGAAGAGAAGCTACAGCTCCGCTGCTCTTCCTTCTTCACCAGAGTCGAAAGGCTGGAAGTTCTTACCTCTCCAGTCGTAAAGGAGTCATGCGTGTGCTCCTGCCTTTAATGAATTAAGCTGAAATGAAGTATTGAGTTGCATCATCATTCGTAGGGAGAAAGTTAGGAGGAAGCTTGTGGTAGAAAGACGAAAAGGCCTTGCTGCTCTTCATAATTCCAATGCAATTTTTTGTTGTATTTTGATTGAATTTTCTTTACTCCTTATTGTGACGCATCACTGCGAGGGCCTTCTCAGAATGGGTGTGGCCACCATAACTAAATAGTAGTTTGGGCAGTTCGAAACTTGTGGGCAGTTTGAAACCTGTGGGCAGTTCGAAACATGTGGGCAGTCGAAACATGTAGGCAATCTGAAACATGCAGGCAATTTGATGCTTAACTTTATGTTGCCGACTTCAGGTGTAAACACTGGAAGATCCTCAGTGTCAAAGGTTGCTTTTCGGTTTGCAGCATCAAGAGCGGGCATTGCTGACTTAATCCAGCCTGGACTTGTCCAGCTGCAGCCAGCTCTCGATGACTTCATGGACACGCTGGAGCCACTGTCAGGTAGCACAATCCTGGATTGATGGATGAATAATAACGGTTGTGTACTTCGTAACAGGCGGTAGCTTAAGCCACCTAGCCTGAAAATTAAAAAAGAAAACATACGATTCCTCCCCCTTCTAAGCCAGTGCATTTCTGTAAATATCACCAGGTAGGGGGAGTGATCACAAGGGTGACCTTTCACGACTTCCTCTGCATATTGCTGGACATTCGGAGCAGGATGTAGAGTTCCATCAGCCTTGCATATTCTTTCTCGTTCCCAGAGTTTCTCAACTCAAGGCTCCCTACCCTTGCAGAAGAGACGCCCGACCTGTCGGCTGCTTCTCAGGTCAGTGCTTTGTTTACTAACAACCGTGTGCTCAATGCAATTATGGGTAATAAGAAATGTTATTGACATAATCAGGTTATAATGGACTGTGCAGGAAATGTAAAACACCCCTCGAGGATATTGGGACTACTTCTGATCTATACTCCGTTCCATGATAACTTGGCAAACTGTGGAGGCTGCTTCTCCTGCGGTCACCACCCCATGGTTAAGGCCACGGAGACCTCGTTACTGCCACAGCAACGGTGCTGTCCACGACAATGTAGTTCTAGGTTTCTTTTTTTTTTTAACAGCAATTGAACTTACTCAATTCTATTTCTATCGAGACTGTATAAGAAATAAGGAATAAATATTGACGAATTTATGAGTTTCCATTGTATTTAAACGAAAAAGTGACGCTACATTTGTGTCTGCTGCCGATTTTTTCTCCTTGTAGCGCCGTGGCCGTTGGCGATCGCAGCCATGCAATCGACTGCTTCCACTCAAAATATTGCCGTGGCATTGGCACCCGCCACAGATTGTTGCATAAATTGAGCGTATGGTTGTCTCATGAAGAGTTCCCGAAGAGCTCGCTATACTAGTGGACGGCAATGTGGCGGTTGTGGACGTTTTCACAGCTTTCTTGGTTACACAGCAGAAGACTCTTTACAAGCAGATGACAGCTGGTTCCTTGGTGCATTGACACACATGCTCCCGTGGCGCAGCGTCACGTGCCTCGCTCCGATGCTCTTATTGGGTTGGAGGGGCCGTGCCTCCACAGTTCGCCAAGCTATCGTGAAACGGAGTGTAGTAGCTATTTATGCAGTCTTTTTGATTACAGCTAGCATTGTTCAAAAGTGATATGCTAGTGTGCTATGCCGTAGTAGTCTTATTAAGCACTGACCCTGCTTTCAGGCGGGCTAATGGCTACAACTATCATGAGCCTGCAATTTTGTTTTTCTTGCAGCTTCAGGCATACCCGGTGCAGCAGCAGAGACAGTCATTGTTGTACAATGGGCAGATAGTTGTGCAGAATCAGCAACATCAGCAGCAACAACAGCGACAGCACCAGCTACAACATCAACAACAACAGCAGCAACAACAACAACAACAACAACAGCAGCAGCAGCAACAGCTGCAGCAACAACAACAACACCAGCAACAACAACAGCAACAAAAAGAACAACAACAACAACAGCAAGAACATCAGCGACAGCGACGCCTCCAGCAGCAACATCAAGAGCTTCAGCAACAGCAAGTTTTCAATGCGTCCCTGCAGCCTCTCCAGTCAAGTATAGTCATAAATAATGTGGACCAGTTCGTGGCATCGGTGGCCACCCAGCAGCAGCCGTCGTCTTCAGCGACGCCCGAGGAGGCCCTCAAGAAGTACAATCTGGACTTCCTGCAGTCGGCTCGGGCCCCCACTGCCATCTCTCCTGTTCAGCAGCAACAGCAGCAGCCGCAGCAAGTGGCTCCTCCTCAGCAGCTTCTTCAGCAAGTTAGGGTAGGTGTCACAAACCAGTTTTTCATATCATTTGCTTTGCCATTGCTTTTTACAGCGGAGCTGTTAAGGGCTAGTTTCCCCAGTATAGTGTCCGCAGGAAACAAATGTTGACACAAAACTTCGGACAGCTACCACTATCTAAAAGTAGGATTCGGAGTTTTCGGTTTAAACCAATAAAAAACGATAAAAGTATGCCGAATGCATTTTCGGAAATTGTTTTAATTGAAAAAAATCAGTTTTTTAGGGCCGCATCGAGGTGGGTGGGGGAAGAGGGAGAGAGAGAGAGAGAGGGGACTTTGCAAGGTTCGACATTGTGTGACGTCTTCGTGATTGCCCTCTTCCGAGGTTCTACATGCAACAAAAGAGGCCTTGGATTGGCCTTCGCAAGACATTGTGTCCTTTCTGTGATCGGGATTAGCGTGTCAAGTTCCCGGACCTAAAAAAAAAAAAAAGTTTGGATGTGGGCTAGTATAAGGTTTTTTGCTTCATGCACTTCAGAGGACATCGAGGAAAGCCGTTAATACCTTTCTTAACACCCTCTCTCAAACTTCCCTGTAATTAAAAAGATAAATACAAAGATTTTTTTTTTTTTGCCATTTTGTTGGGATTTGTATGTTCATTACCTCAGACGGTCACGTCATCAGAATGGGAGGCAAAAAGAAGCACGCTGAAGATTATGCCTGCGAATTCCGCGATTTTGAGGTATGTCCTGACGGTAGCTGTAGAGAAGACCACATATGTATATGTGCCGTTATTCTTTGATTGATCACAAATATCAAAGCTAAAAGGATCATCTGATATGGTGTCGATGGTGTTTCTGTCATATTCACCTCAATAAAACGGTAAACGTTTTTGGGAATAAATAGACACCAAAAAGAAAAACAAAAAAAAAACAAAAATTTAATTTTAAAATAAACACCGAAAAAAGTATGCGAAATTTTGAAAAAAATAAAAACCGAAAATGCAGAACCCTATCTATCAGCGACAACAGCAACCAGATTACCGGCTTGCCTGTTGTCTGGTTTCTGCCGTCGCTCATAGATGGCGTCAGCCTTTCCAGCCTTTCCACTCTGGCTTGCCACCTTGCAGCCAGCCATTACTTCATTTTAATCAAAGTACAGCTTTGCTGGTCTTCCTTTTTCACCAAAAAACAACAAAAAAACTAAGATTTCTTTTAAATTTTTTTTAATTCTGAAATTGAAGCAATCTGCCAAGATTTTTGCTTCATAGCACACGTTACAAGAACATTGGATGCGCAAGGAAATTCACAATGGCATTTGTGCCATTATACGTTGCCTTTAATGCTGAGATGCAGATGGCTGGCGACAGTGATTTAAACACCAAGGAGGCTGAACTGTCCTTATTCTGAAGTGTAGCTTATTTAGTTGCTCTATCTTATCTCGAGACTGTTTTGACCACAACAAGCGCCGTCTGACGTTTCCAGCTGGCTCCGGCCGCACCCAGGCAGTCACCAGCGCACAGCTTTGCTCCGTCCGCTCCAGCCACACCGCAGTACCTGCACAAGTCCGGGCGGCCCCCGCCCCTGAAGCAGAGGTCGCTGCCAAACGTCGGAGCGTTCCAGAGCATGGCCCTCGGAGTGACGACCACGCCCGCTGTGGAGCAGCCGATCTTCCAGCAGCTCCCCTCTGCGGGAGTCCAGCGGCAGTCGCCCTCCAATGGGCTGCAGCAGGCTGCCGTGGCGGCCATGTTGGGTGTCAGAGAGAAGGAGAAGGCCTCTCCCAATGGGGCGGGCTCGGCCGCCAAGCGCCACTCGTACACGGGAGGCCAGGAGGGCAGCGACCTGGTGCAGTTTGGTGCAGCCATGGCGGCCCACGTGGCGGCGGCGTTTGCGCCGGCGGACCAGGTGCCGCTGCCGGGCACGGGTGGCAAGAGTGTCAGCTTTGCCATGCCCAAAGTGGTTGTGGTGAGTCGGCGTAGCTGCCCATACCTGTACCTCTACCATAAAGCAAGATTGGGACTGGGACGTCGCTCGTCAGTGTTTTAGAGCACAGCTCTTAGGCGCTCGTTCCCGGGTTTTAGACCTATAGACCAATTCAGTTGCCCTCTAAATTTAGCGAAGAAACTGAATTGGTGTGTAGGTCTGTAACGTCCCATAATGCAACACTGCGCATTCAGTTACCCCGCTAAATTTAAAAATAAAACTAAGGTCACGTGGCGTCAATTTTCCAGCTAAATTTAACGGGGAAACTGGGAGGAGGGGAGGGTGCGGAAGAGGAGGAGGTTGGGATGAGGTGAGGGAGGTAGGAGGAGGAGGGGAAGGGGGTACGGAGGACTAGGAGGGTCTTACCCTCCCCTCCTCCTCCTCAAGAGCTGCACTTGAATTTCGCAATGCAGAAGTTTGTAAACATCTTTCATTTTTTATCGGTGAAAGCTCGTTAATTCAAACTTCAGTAATTTGAAAGCTCGTTAATTCGAACTTCAGTAATTTGAATTTATGAATAATTCAAACTGTACGATTTGGTCCTGCCAAGCTCCCTGGAAGTATATGTATAAAAAAGCCCGTTAATTCGAACGCGAGTAGGTTCCGCCATGGATAATTCGAACTACGCGCCACCACACCGGCGGCTTTGCGCCTGGTACACGGCCAGAGAAACGCACCCACTGCCTGCACACGAGGCTGCGTCGCCTCAGAAACGGAGAGAACGGCGAGAGAAGGCAAAATCGGGAAAAATCCAATTGGCGCAGAGGCGGCCAGAAGGCAGCGACGGCTGCCTCCTCTCCGTGCTATGTGCACGTGATCTCCGAGACTCCTTGCCTGCGCCGATCTCGGAGACTTTGCAAATCTTATCGTGTAGCTGCTGTTGTTGAGCGGCATATAGCGCGGCAAGCACCAAAACACAGTGAATCAAGTGCGTCGCATCTGCGCTTGCAATCAAGAACCGACGAATCGGGGCCTTTGCCACCTTCGCAATGTATGTTCGACGTCTGTCTCGGCAGTCTCCGTTGGGTGTGCTTGTCTGTTTTCAGCTTTGGAATTACCGGCTGTTGCGATTCTTTGTGGTGTTGTTAAGCCTCGGCTAAAGTTCGTTTCGGCGGACATCGGTGGTGGGGCGCCGGACCCAGAGCTGCGACTTGAAGATGGCGTGTGCCCACGGCAAATACTGCACCAAAACACTGCAAGATAAGAGTGAGATCCTGCGGAAAGTGGACGCCGGACTCTTGTCTAAGCAAGAAATTGCTAAGAAGCATTCAATACCGAAAAGCACGCTATCTACTTACATAAAGAATAAGAGGGCTATACACGAACTCATCTCTGTTACGTCATGGCGCGGTGGTGGCGCGTCGGACGCACTTCCGGTCCGGGGCTGTGGGCGGAAGCGCCCATCTAAGACGTGTATTCCTGCGTTGCTTTGAAAGGAACCAGACAAAAACCTGCCTTTTTGTCAAAATGCTACGACTGGGGCTGTACCAAAAGGTTCGAGAAAGGTTTGAAGGTCAGTTTTCATGCGCTCGGTTCGTCCGAGAACGTGGATATGTGCTGTGAAAAGGGAAAACCAGACGCCGTCGGACCACGACTGCTTGGGCGGGAAGCATTTTGGGTTGAATTCACGGATACTTCTGGCCATCAGACTTATTTGTTTTGTTCTAAAATGAATGCCGGAAAACCGTCAAGTTGTACGGACAACCTGCAGACTATGTTCAGTGCGTCTTCAAGTTCAAACGGTCGCCCGATCGTTCGAACTGTCGTCTGCTCTTTCAAACGTTTCTGCTTGTCGTCTGCTCTTTTAGAGCACACCGGCCCGTAGACCAAACGTGGGCCCGGTACTTGCGATAAGAAGTAAGTGCAGGCCTCAAAAGACTTAAGTTTGAAGGTTGGTAAGCAGGCTCGACGTAAACAGTAGATACAAGAAGATGTTGATCATTGTTACCAGTGGCCATCACTGACTTGTCACGCCTGATTCACTTGGTTAGATTCTGCTTGCGATTTTCAGTATGGACGTCAACCATCTCAGCTACGGTTCACGCTTTTGCAGTCCGAGCGACGTCGCTACTGAAAATTGCGAGCGAAATCTCATCATGTGAATCGTCCATTCTGCGGCGTCCACGCGGAATGAATCGCCGCATGTCAGATTATTTACGCGAAGATTTGCGGTGTAACGAGCCTCGTTAATTTCGCTGACGCCGCTCAAGTAGTCAGACATCGTTAGGAGGACGTAGAATCAACAATTCCGACGCGAAAAAGAGCGCGGGGACTCACACCGACGCCGACAACATTGCGTTTCAATGGTTTGTTTATAGGCGACGGCGAGCTTCTTGCTCACACCCCCATCGCGCATGCGCGTCGCCGGTGGCGTCCGCTAGGGGTGCTAAGGGCGCTCCGGTTTGTTTGTAAACATGAGTTGGTGTATAGAAGACGCCTTGGCAGCAGAAGTTGCCAACAAAAGGAAGAGGATGCGGCCCGCAAAGTATCCCGACCTCGAGAAAGCGCTTCTGCTTTGGATTAAGGACATGCGTGCACAGGATATTCCACTGAGCAGCCCTGTTATACTGGCGTTGGCAGCAGACTTCGCCCAGCAGCTAGTTTACGACAACTTTGCTGCTTCTGATGGGTGGCTACACCGATTCCGCGAGCGTTATGATCTTGTTTTCCGTGCTGTGTCGGGAGAAGCAAAGGCCGTAAACGTTGAAACGTGTGAAGCTTGGCGCTCCAAGGTGCTGCAAGGCCGCAGGGCATATTTATTGCGGACGAGACTGCTTTTTTTTTTTAGATTGCTGCCTGCCAAAACACTTATATATAAAGGCGACAAGTGCACTGGAGGGAAAAGAAGCAAAGAGAGGATAACTATTGGTTGCAGCGAACATGAAAGGGACAGAAACACTGCCGCTTTTGGTCATCAGCAAATCAGAAAGTCCTCGTTGCTTCAAGAACATCCGATCGCTCCCAGTGGACTATGCGGCCAACAAAAAGGCATGGATGACGGGGGAACTGTTCGGGCAGTGGCTAGCGAAGATGGACAAAAAGTTGGAGCGTTGTGGCCGGAAAGTCCTGCTTCTTGTTGACAACTGTTCGGCTCATAAGGTCGAAGTTGAGACGAAGGCCATTGAGCTAGCCTTCCTTCCACCTAAAACAACAGCGGTGCTGCAGCCAATGGACCAGGGTATCATCAAGGATGATTTAAAATCATTTTACCGGCGCCATTTGTTGGAGCGAATTATTTTGTGTAACATCTACAGTAAAACCTTGTTATAACAAAATGGGATATAACAAACTAATGGATATAACAAAGCAACCATAATTCCCCTTGCTTGCTAATATTGGGAAGAAATGGACATTGGCTATAACAAACTAATGGTTATAACGAAATAATTACGACCGCTCCTTCAACTTTGTTATAACGAGGTTTTACTGTATCAGGTGACACTCCTAAGTGCGCTACATATGCTTGTGCGTGCTCGGGAGCAAGTAACTGCGGTTACGATAGCAAATTGCTATCGCCACTGCGGCTTCGGCGCGTAAGCTCTGCAAGGAGGAAATCAGCCACCTGCACTCGAAGATGGCATCACCACTCCCATCGCGGACGTTTTGGACGACGTCTCCTTTGCGGACTATGTCGACGTGGATGCGAGTGCAGTGGTGTGTGGTGCTCTGACGGATGAGGACATCATTTCTGAGGTCAGAAGCGCTGAACTTGTCGCTGCCAGTAACGAGGAGGAGAAGGAGGAAGACGAAGCACCAGTGCGGCTCTCCGCTGCAGAGGTCATGGTTGGATTGAATGCCGCCCGTCTCTTCTTCAGTTTTGAAGAAGGCGGAAAGGAGGCCTTCCGCCACATTCGCTCGTTAGAGCAAAAAGTGCTACCTGTCGCTTCAAAGAAAAAAGGCAGACTACGATCACGGACTTTTTGAAGCATTAAATTGCTGACATGCCCTACTGCTTCTAAATCGCAGTGAGTGTACTATTGTTCTTCACTTTCGTTAGTTCAAACTTCCGTTAATTCGAACTGAGGCGGCTTCCCATTGCGGTTCAAATTAACGAGCTTTTACTATGCCCAGATCCGAAGCGTGGTGCATTGTAGTCACTGACAGGATGAGAACGACACAGTGTCTTTTGAACGCCCCACCTCCAGCATGCACTCCATGCTTTCTGCCGTGCTTTGGCTACTCACGTGCATAGCCAAAACACGGTGGAAAGCATGGAGACGTCGAAGTGTCGTTTAATGCAGGAAGATCAAGCTGGAGGCGGGAGAATTTAAGAACCCCCCTGTCATTCTCGCCTTGTCGGTGACTATAGGACTTGCATTGTGCCGTGGGTTGTACTACACTCAGCATCAACTATTTTGCAAAGCCTAGCGTAGCTTCCACACTATTCTAATGCCGTGAAAGCTATTTGCACGAGCATGTGGCTTTGCTTGACATCATCTCTGCACGAGAGCGCGTGTGAATGGTACGCAAGACGAAGACATGCTGTCGCAGCAGTGTGGGTCTACAGCACTGGAAGCTAAGCTAGCCTTAGCAATGAGGCAAAAAATAGTTGACACCGAGTGTAGTTTTTAGACATTTAGCCAGGTAAAGGCCCATTTTCTTTACCGTGCTTAGAGGTGAATTTGTCACCGCTCGCAGAGTAATATCAATCGGGTCAACTAGATTCATGTCCCTAGAAAGGCAGTTGCTTATTTTATTTAAAGGTACTGCATTTGGATGATTGTGGCAAAAGTTTGTTTTAAGAATTTCTCCACCCATTATAACACTTACATCATGCACAAAACCACCACTTCGGTGCTTTTAGACAGCATGAGTAAAGAGAAAGCGCACGCTTGCAACGCGTGACGTGGAGCAAACAAACTGCGGCAAAGTCGGCAACCCAGCTTTTTAGCCATGTGGCAAAAACGGAGAAAGCAGATGAGTTCTCTCCTGGCATCGGTGCTCATCGTTAACTGTAATGTCGTCTTCTTTCTTGCGCCGCACGTGACTCTGGAAGCAAGTGGTTCTTTCGGACCTACTTCTAACCACATTTCTCCCCTTCCCGATTCTCTCTGCTTGCCGTGCCCAGCCCAAGAACCGCATCAGGTCTCGCAGCATGTCTTCGCCGCAGAGCGGCTCCAAGCACCACCCGAGTACCGGGGCGGTAGCCAAGCAGGCGGTGTCTCTGGGCCACCTGCCCTGGGGAAACTCTCCACCTCCGCCGCAGGTGCTTAGCCCTAAGCTGCCGGTGTCGCCCTCGAGCTCCGCGTCGCCACCCTTGCAGCAGAGCGCCGTGCTCACCCAGCTGCTCACCTCGGGTGAGCAACGGGAGCCTTTGATCTGTCATTTTCACCCGAATAACACCGTCTTTAAATAAATTTCCAAAGATTTTTTTTTTTTTTACTGGAGTTGTAGGGTTTCTATTACTCTGTTGGATGACATGGGAGTCTATTTGAAGTTGCGACCCTTGGGAACAAATTTCACATAATGCCTGCACATGCAGTGAACGGTAACAGCTCAAAATCTTGCCACTGCTTCATCTCAGTGGAAAGTGGAGAGAGGAGTATTAAGTGCTGAGAAGTCATTGTTCTTCATTAGAAGGTCACTGTGGACCTGTAAGGGCTGCTCTGGTCACTGACAGGATGGGAACAGCAGGGAGATCTTTCAGGTGTCCCGTTTCCAGCGTGGACTTCCTACCTTGAATGTAGCTTTGGCGTCTCTTGGGCTTCGAGCATGCACTTACGGCCAAAGCACCTCGAAAGGCACCGAGCATGTACCGGAGGTCAGATGTCACCCTGTAAGCGACTATAGAGGGTCACGCTCCACCGTTTAGCTGATCAAACAGGCTCGCTCGGAGTACCGTTTTTTCATTTTACGTAGCCGCTCGGCAAGGATACAATCGCAAATTTCATCGGTCACCCGCTCGTCGTTCTCGTTTATGATTTCTCACGAAGGAGTCAAAGGTCTTGACCCGCTTCCTCTCTCGCCCGCTCTGTCTCTTCCGAAAGGCAACACATTTTCCTGGGACGCCCAGAACGGAAGCATTGCCAGCACCAACTCGTCGGCACTGTCCACGCCGGCCACTGTGACCATCATCAACTCGGTGGCCCCGTCACTGCCGGCCGTAGCGCAGCAGACCTTCGTCATATCTCCCGTCACCCTGTCCACGGTGAGTGGCGCCGTTTGCCCCAAAACCATACGCGTCGACCAAAGAGACTGATGTCCCGACTGGTCCCTGTAGGATTGGAGAGGGGCTGCGGAGCCTAGAGCCACCACGCAATTGCTAAGCTTTAGAGTATTGCCAGTCCTTTCCCCGATTCTCTTGTGGGTGCCAGCATTTTGGTGCTTGGTGCAGAAGGGCGCAAACGGTAATCGTTATGATTCCAAACTGCGACTCTCGGCCTCAGATTTGGTATCGGGAAGCCCAGCTGATGTTTCGCTCTGTCACAAACCGTTTCAACATGTCCGGAAGATGGAAAGCCGTTTCCCGCGATTTGAGGTCAAGCTTCAAATAGCTGAAACAATTTTAAGCACCAATGTGGCTGAAATGTCATTACTTTGAGGCGTAGCTTATCAGGGGCTCTAGTCTCGGTGTTTTTGGGGAACCGGGGGTCATGACCATCTCTGGAAGCCTCCCAAGTTTTAGTTTCCCTCTGTTGCGTCCTACTTCTAACACCATCCTTTTACGACCTTCTATTTGTAGAAATTGACATGCTTAAGGCCTTCCAAAGCTTTGGCATTTCTTTGTACGCAGTTTGCTCTCAACGTTGTCTTTTTTATTGCCTAAGCAACAAGGCATGGATTTTACTAAGTGTTTGTTTTGTTTTGAAACACATTTTAGTACTACTTGGTTTACAAATATTTAACAGTGGTGGTTGCCTGCTGTTCAGAGAAGACTATTTACAGGTGCCCTATATAGAGGTTTGTCTTCAAAGAAATCATTCTTATGACTCTTGACAGTAAAGTCTTTGGCCTTCGGTTTCGTAATTAAACGGAAAGGGAATTAAAAAATATGGTGGCTTTAAGGCTGAACTTCATAAGGCAGATATGCTGCGAAGAATCAATCAATTTTGCTTGACGGCTTTTGCTCTGCGTGTGGCATCAGCACATTGACTGCTACGTCGCGTGCAAAGCAAGCGTGCCGTCGGGCAAATTTCGTCAGTTATTTGTTGCATAATTCACTCCATGGAGTTCAGCCTTTATAGTAGCCATCATTGGCAAAAAGTGTTTTCAAACAAAATAATTTTTGGTTAAAATACAGTAAAACCTCGTTATAACAAAGTTGAAGGAGCGGTCGTAATTATTTCTTTATAACCATTAGTTTGTTATAGCCAATGTCCATTTCTTCCCTATTAGCAAGCAAGGGGAATTATGACTGTTTTGTTATATCCATTAGTTTGTTATATCCCATTTTGTTATAACGAGGTTTTACTGTACTTTCAATGTTTCACAAGTCTTTCAACCAGTGTTGCGGAGTTGCCACACCGGAGTTGGAATGATTCCGGAATCATTCCGCACTTTCACGACCCCGGATGGAATGGGAATGGAATGGCAGCATTGCTGGGGGGAATGGAATGGGAATGGAATTACCCCGGATGGAATGGGAATGGAATTGAATCCCTTTTTGCCCGGAATGGAATGGGCTTTGTGCTTATGTGAGCTGTGTTGATTTTCATCTAGGGCCTACAAGCTGATTGCGCAATTCGCTAGTGCATGGTATGTGGCTCTTGAAACAGCATCATTGCACTGGAGGTGACTGACGGCTTCATTGTCTCACTGGCTTATGCTCCTTCCAGGATGAAAATGGCGCGCCCTCGGTGAAGCAACCGAAACTGAATAGTTGTAGACAAACAAGATGCCGTTCCTGGCACCGCGAGACGCGACGAAGCGGCTGTTGTAATCATGAGCGATTAAAATACAGCTTTTGACCCGGGTGTCGAATTGAGCCCGAACCGAAACTTGAAGCAAAACTGTTATTTTTAACTGAACCGGAACAAAGCTGTAACCGAAATCAATCGTTCGATATTGAACCTGAACCGAAACAGAACCGCAATTTCATGTAACGATTACCAGTTCATTGGCAATGGTTCAGCATAATAACATGTGAGTTGCAATATTTTGCGGGTGGCGGCACAAAGTCGATTAAGTATTCGCGACGGTGGCATCGACGGCTCAGTTTTGACTAAACAAATAACAACAACGACGTGGAGACAGCTCAGTAATAATGAAACAGATAAATATATTTCACGTCTATGTGCAGCACGAATTAGCGTCGGCGAGTCGGCGTGGAGGCGGTCGCTCAGACATGTACGTAACGCATACTTCGATTGCGCACGTGGCGCATTTTATAGGGATCTTACCTGTTCCGCATTTATTGCTGGAAAATTGCTCCCCCAACTCCATAAAGAGTGGTATCACATGAAATGGTTGCCATTTATAAGGGACTGTATGGAGTACTGTCGGCTGTTGTCTCAGGATTCTACGCTGCCACTTTCATAATTTTTATTTTTACTGTCGAGACCAGTTATAACGAAGTCAGTTATAACGAAATAGCGGCTACAGCGAAGCGATTACAATTTCCCATTCCCTGTTGCACTTCGTTAAAACCGAAGTCGGTTATAACGAAATAGCAGATATAGTGAAGCGATTTTCGATTCTCATTGACTTCGTTATAACCGGTCTCGACAGTGTTGCTGTTTCATTCTCGAACTTCTTGTAGTACTTTACTTGTTATTGTCACCACTTGAGAACTTGAAGTAGCAATGGCAAGTACAAATTTCTTGCACTTGAAACAACTCTTCAGCAAGTTAGTATGAAAGCCAAATGCATACCATCTTTCTCAAACTAGGGATATACTTTTTTTTTTTACATAACAGTTTTTGTTATTGATGATGGTTTTGATGTCTGTAAAAAAGACGAGTTACAAACACAAACAGCTAACAATTGCTTCAGTTTAAAGTGTGGATGCAAACTTTCTATGGAGAAATTAATTTTTTTTTAAATTTAGTGCAACATTTTCACGCTGTTTTGCATTTGCAATTTTCCCCATATTCTGCACTTTTATGTAACTAAAAAAGGTGCCTTCCATCGGGCACTCTCAGCACAATTAAATACTGCATTTCCCGAACCTAAAGGAATACTATTAGCAATGTCTTGCGGTGGTCCTCTTTGAGCAAGTCAGGCAATCAGCTCAGTTGCAAGCCTTTACTGCGAGAGTCTGTGCACATGCAATGATAGCCTTTGCAGTTAATTTATGCCTCGCACATTGCCAAAGCTTCGAGAATATTTTATCAAGTCGAATGTGATCTTTAAAGTACACCCGGCTGACATGGTGTGTGGTTATGACATGAGGTCTTCTCTCCTGTGTGACCGATTGCACTCAGCCCTGATTCAATTTCATTTTCCAGATTTCAAGTACAAACAGCCTGCCTCGCAACCTGATAGTTGGCTCAGCCGCCATCATCCCTCCCCCCGTGCCCATACTGCCTTCCAAGCAGCTCAACTCATGTGAGATGTCTTGATGTCTCTCCTGCTCGTGTTTAGGCCCCAGTAATTTTGAGCGGTGTGGTCTCTTCACTTGTTCCTGGGCTTTTTAGCAAAACCAAGAGCTTTTCAATTGCTTGTTTGCGGTCTGGCCGCAGATCCAGTTCGTTACCTCCGGTCTGGCCGCAGATCCAGTTCGTTACCTCCACTTAGAGACGCATAAAGGAAATCGGTTTAGTAAGCAGAGTATCAAACGAGGAAAGAGTTTTGCCTCGATAATGTTTCCTTTCCCTCTGCTTGTTCTCAGAGAAAGCTGGACCTACCCTACTTAGAGTGCTAAAAAGGGGATTGTTGGTGCAGAGACAAGTCACTAATTCTAAATTTAATGAGTCTAGTTGTTGGGCTAGTTGGTACATGATGCTCAGGAAACTTATAAGCGCAAACAGAGATGAAAACAAAGAAGGTGACATTCAAGAGTGCTTGTCTGTGTGGCCTTCTTTGTGCCTCTTTGTTTGTGCTTACAAGTTTCCTGAGCATAACTTTAAATTGCACTCTGGCCCCTGCAAAGAGAAGGGATTGAGCAGCCATTGTTGCATCGATGGGGCTTTCAGTCAATCGCAAGATTGAACTTTCCCGTCGATGGCACCTTGGCTGATATTTTTCCCCCACAAGTTTCTTAATCTTTTGCCGGAGTATTTAGAGACTGCAAAGACATGTTCGCCTTGTGGGTGGCAACCAGGGGAACATCTTTTGTAACTATTGCAAAAGCATGTAGGGTTGTGTGATTAAACCTGCGGAGCTTGCCTCCGTGGGTACTGCTTCTCCGTGGTTGACTGGTGCTCAGTAAGAAACGCGCTCAATGGGGCTAACCCGCCGCAATGTTTGCTGTCGCGGGCTTGGGAGGAAAGCACACTTTCAAGGCGGGATTGTGCACTTGTGCACCTGCTGTATTTAAAAAGAAACGGAAACTTTGTGAATGTTTATATCTACACTACTATAAAATTTTAAAAATTAAACCGTGGCTCTTAGGCAAGACTTTATTTTAGGCAGAGATGTCCTGACAACCTGCGTTCATCATTCGTGATTATCTATTTTTTCCCTTAAATTTGATAGGAATATTTGCATATAGAAAAAATATTTATAAATCCCCACAATTAGGTATAACTAGGCATCTCCGAAGAATTAATTTTATATCAGATCCATCATTTTTTTGCCTTGGTGCCCGGGTAATTTAGCGAAAAGTCAGAATGCAGCACACAAAGCATGGAGGTGCTGGCGCTGCGTGCTGACTTTTCGGAAGTTTAGAAATTTCTTGTGTATCTTCAGTGGCATCCAAATGTTTTACATTTGAACGTAAACCTATTGGACGGAAGTCCATCCGGTCGGGTTGAAGTTGGAAGAAAAAAAATGAAGCTGCTGCTCCTCATTTGGGAATAGTCAACCTGTGAATAAGAAACCATATCGGTTTCAAAACATCAAGACCCTGAATCTTTAGGCCGTTGTTGGCGATGATAATTTATTTTCATGAATGTTTTACATGTGATGCCTCGTGTTGGTTTCAGCCCTTCCAAGTACAGTGGTACCCCAAGCTAAGACTGCTGATGCTCCTGTGAGTGCAGATGTTTTTCAAGTGCATTAAAGGCTCCTCATGCTCAACTTCATTATACCATATTTACACGGTTGTAAGTCAACCCCCTCAGATTGCACATCAGCTAAAAAAAAAAAATCTTTAGATGCACATTTTACTGCGAGCACGGGAGGACGGCAAATTTCTGCTTCCAAAGCCGAGCCTGCAACGCGCGATCGATGCCTTCTGGTGTGCTTTGGCTGCGCATGCACGTGCGAGGTGCATAAGATGCCCTGGCGTTATCGAAACTAGGAAGATCACGGTGAAGGGGGGTCAACTGCTGCTCACATTCGTCGTTCCCCACTCCGTCCAGGACTAGACTACGACTCGTCCGCACTGGTGATGTCAGTCTCGTCGTCATCACTGCTACGTTCTCGAAGCTTGGCGGCGGCATCGTCCAACAAAGTCTCGCACTTCGCAAATGACACGGTCAACCGCATCTTCTGCGCTTGCTCGGCGATCGCGTTGGACGTCACGGGTAGGGAACGATTGCACACTTTTGGGGTGTACGTTGCAAGCTCGACTTACAAATCCGGAACCATACTATGGCCTACGGAAGCCTCGTTGTTTGCCGTCACAGTTTAAGATCCCGCGCCACTGCAGACACCACTGGAGCATCACCTGCTCCGACGGGTCGAAGTTGCGTCCTTGCGTCCAACAGCGCAGTTGTTGGTTGCTTCTGAGTGAAGAATGGCCATGAACGAGCACCGAAAACCTAAACTGCCCGGATCACGCGTGTCAATACAAAAAAAGGTAGTTAGCGCCCCAGCATGATCTCGTCACGCGATCAAACGATGTGCTACCGTGAATCGTGCGAAAAACTGCGAAGAGAAGCGAGAAGCCGCGGGGTGAATGAGCCGTGAGGCCGTTCCAGCAGCCTCCGGAGTGGCTCTTGCAACAAGTGCCACCACTCCCCAGGAGTCGGGCGCGCCGTGCGCTGTTCACCGCCATATATTCGGGTTAATTTGCGAATCGCTATCAATAATACTCGTTCGTGCAAGTAAAAAAGTAATTAATCTGTAAAGTGAACGCACAGAATGGTGTAATGCCAGAGGTACAGCCGGCTGAACTCGTAACAAACTGAGGTGTTCATGATATCGCGGTTGTTTCGTTTTTGCCGGTGGTGGAATGCTTTGGTTCGATTATAAGTCGACCCCCCGACTTCAGATTTTCAAAAATTGAAAAAAGGGTCGACCTACGTTCGTGTAAATACAATAGTACCTAAAAGCTGCTGGTTACCAAGATTCGATTGTGAAGGCTTGATTATCCTTAGCCTGTGCAACAGTCTAGTGCCAGCCTTGGCTCTTGGCCTTCATCATATTTTTATTATTCAAAATTCTCCCGATTCAAACACTCCAGTCCAGTTCACGTGACTCTCGGTTAGATGAAATATTATTTGGTAAATGTTGGACGATATAAACCAGACATTGTGTAGGCCAAAGCAAATATTCATTCTGACTGCTGCATTTTCCAGCCACAAGAGCCCCTGCTTTGCAATTTTCAAACAGACTTCTTTGCAGATTGCTTTCCTTGACTGGGCCAAGCCCGCAAAAAAAAGTCGATTTCGTTGAACATTGCCAAACTGTAGCATCAGCTTTGGATATTGCTGCTGCCACCATTCCAGTATTTAATTTTCGAGAGAAATTGCAGCGTGCAAAACTAAACTCGTTATGGCTCGGGGCAGATTGTACACTCATTTCTACGCAACTTTTCTGGTGCACCCTTGAACAGTATGAGTGTGAACATCTAACGTTCACACTTACTAATATGTCTGGCAGCGAACATGAGAGCAAAGTGAGGGATTTGGCATTTTTTAAGTTTTCATATACCTGGATGGCATAAGAAATATGAGTAAATTTTTAGTATGTACTCGGCCATCGGTTTCGGTATCTTTCGCAATCAGCGTCCCATGTCGAGCATTGTCGCCGAACCAGCCTTTAGATGAGAATGCGGTAACTCGTGGGAACAGTTGTTGGGGATGGCACACTCTGCTTGCAATGTCTGTAAACACCCCTGTCTTTGGCGCCCGCAGGCCGCCTCAGCCTCAGGGGCTTCTGCCAAGCCGTTCCGGCCCAAGTCGGACGAGGAGCGCGTCCAGTACAAGGAGCACCGAAGGGTGTGCCACATCAATGCCGAGCAGAAACGTCGTTTCAACATCAAGGTAGGGCTGGTAGGACACTTTGTTTGTTCACACGAGGCGCTTCTGCACAGATCGCGAGGAGCGTTCTCTTTATGGAATCTGCACAGTTCAGAATTTCACCATTTGAATTTGACACCTGGACGGCTTGCATTCGGACGGAAACTTGAAGCTACCTAACCAGGGTCGGACAACGGTCGTCGCTTGGATCATTGTCCCGCCAATGGGGGTGCTCGGTGCGAGCTGGGAATAGTATAATGCTAAACCAAGCCTGACATCTACAGAAGTCTACGTGCACGTCTTGCCCGCAAACGTTATGATAACCGTCCTTATTGCCTTCCTTATATACTTTACTGGAAATTGAGGAGCCATTTTTCAGGACCCTCTCCCCATGCTTGTGTTTGTTCTAGTGTTTTCTTTAAATCCGCGAGGCTGGAGTTGGCTCTCCGGTACGTTGGAATGTGAGCCGAGGGTGTCGGACAGCGAGGTTCCGCGGGCAGTTGCAGCACCTAGGGGCATTAATTCGATCCGAAATCTGGAACGCTGTCTCGCTCCATATGAGGGCTGGAATTAATTCCACGTGCGTAATGTTGTGCCCAGCGTGTTTGTTTCTTGTGTACACCTGCATCACTCATTACCTTGCTCCGTCTTCCAGAATGGGTTCGAGTCTCTTCGGCATTTGCTGCCGTCGCTGAGTCAGAATCCAGACTCTAAAGTGAGCAAGGCCCAGATGCTTCAGCAAGGTGATCTTTTTTTGCTTTCTTTATATGTCACCACTATTCTCGTGTCTGTGTGGGTGTTTACTCAGTTTCGTCTTTTGTATGAACATACTGATTTGGGACTTTTTTTTATACCAGCCGGAGAGTACATACGCACACTGAAGAATGAACGACAACAGCAGCAAGAGGAAGCTGAGATGCTCAAGAAGCAGATAGAGAGTTTCAACCAGGCAATAAGGTAGGGGCTCCTGTTTCACTCAAGTTAAGGCAAACAAGGAACAATCCCCAATTTTAATTCAGAATTGTATTTTAAAGGATAAGCAAAACCATATTTTTTGTTACCCGAGAGATTGCTTTGGATGAATGTGGAAGGCAAACATCTGCTTCTTCACCTACAGTCGCCGACCGATTTTTCGGACTTTGCAGGGACTGAAAAAACGTCCGAATAGGAGAACTGTTTGAAAAATCAGCATATTAGAAAGCTTTCCCTTATTCCGACTAACCGGGCTTAAAAATGCCGTCAGTAGTGCCTTGCTTCAGATTATGCCTCCGCTTGCGTTCGGCCACTTTCTAATAGCTTGAGAATCGCTGCCTTTTCTAGCGTTCTGGTCGAGTACTTTCCGTGCTTCTTATCGTCTATTCACACGACGGACTGATCCGCAGACGGATGGATCATGTGACGACATGTCCGCGGTTTGTCCGTCTCCCAAGCACATCCACACGAGGTAGACAACGAGCAGACGCCAGCGAGGACAGGACCAAACCTGTTCGCCACCCCACAGTGCTGCAAAACTCCAACATCATACCGTGGCACCGTTGTCCAAGAGAGAAATCAATATTTGCTATCGTGATAAAGAATGTACGCCGCTGTTACGTATGGAACGAGGCAAAATGCCATGATAGGCTTCGCGTGAAGTGCCACTAGTCTTACTTACCCAAGACCAGGGGTGGAACGGCTGCGCCATTTGCGCCATTTTGCGCCAGGCGCATGTGTCTGCGCCATCCTGCGCCATGTTGCAGAAACTGCGCCACAGCCAATACCTCGCGCCATTATGCGCCAAATCGCAAAACGTGCGCCAAACAAACGTTTTATTTTGTCTTGGTTTCGGTTTTTATCGACTCGATTGTCAACAATGAGGGCGTTTAGCCTGGTCGGCCTTGCAATCCCTTGTTCTGTTTATTCCCCTTGTCTATCCCGAGTCGGAAGCGCGCGAAAAAACTCGGATTCTAAGCGCTACATCACCTGCGACTGGACTGTTACTCTTCAACCATAAGCGGTAGGGCAAGTAGGCCGAGGTGAGGTCGAGTCGTTAAGCGTCAGATTGCATGAGGCTCTGCGGCCCGGGATCCGGACGTCACTTAGTCGAAAGCAAATGAGCAAAATATTCCTTTTAGTGCTTCATCGTTAGGAGTTGGAACCGCATTCTTGCAAGATAAATCTTGATTTGATAGAACTGAAACGCGGTCCGATTCGAAAGCTTGCCGGTCAGCAGCTCTACTTATCTGCTCGGCGTACTTCAACCTTGCTCCTGCTTATCGCTTCAAATACGATAACTTCGTTAATCGTAGTCTGCTGCTTCGATATCGAGTTGCACAATAGGATAAACTCGAAATTTGTTGCCCTGTCCCTCCGTGCAACTGCACGTCCATTGTTTACGCACGTCACGTGGTTCGCACGTATAATTACTATGTCGAGCACGTGTGGGTTGTGCGATAAGCCGAGCTGGTTTGCATCTTGAGCGTCTGAAGGCCACTCAGAAAATATCAAGGACGCTATCTTCAGAAACATAGAGTAGTTGCTGTTTGATTCTCATTAAGGCTCACAAAGATTCAAGTTTTCGCATATATTACACTGTTATCCCCTCTACCTAGGTCCCTAACCGCTCATGTTCATCTCTGCTGCTAAGCACAATTGAAATTGCTTTCGTGCTTGTCTAAGATACAAGCTGAAGTGCAATGCAAACTGATCTGAGCTGCTCCTAGCCTGCTCCAGAATGTAGTTTTAGCTGCTCCCAACCTGCTCCAAAACAGCTGTTTCAGCTGCTCCCGTGGCTGCTCTTAAGTACATTTCATGAGTTCCACCCCTGCAAGACATGACAATGACACAGACATGGTTCTGCTCGAGAAGGGTTCGGCGGAGAAGCGACAAAGTTCTGGGTTTGCGGAGGGGCGTTTGGAGATGCTTTCACGCACTCTGCGCTCGTGCACAACGCTCAAGTACACCTCAGCCAAAAGAAAGGCCTTGCGCGGTGAAAGCCTGATTGGATATGCAAGAATTTTCGCGGCGTGCTAGATGAATTTTGACAGGAGCTTCTTTAAATGGACCTGGAGGAGTACTGGAACCCGCGTCGTGTCAGCCAGTCAAACTTTCTGCAGTTTCTTTCATGCATAGAACCAAGAATCACATGGCAAAATGAACCAGTGAACGCACGAAACACAGCAATATGCCATTTTAGTTTTAATCGTCCAAAAACAAAAAGCCAAGAAAACATTGTACCGTTGCAAGACTGCTTTTCAAGTCAGTCTCCCACCAAGAATCCGCAAGTGAATAGGCGCTCGGCTTTATCAGTCCGCGCGTCCGCGGACGAGGTGCAGATCGCAAGAATCGGTGACGTGCCGGTCACGTGGTACATGGTTCGTGCATGAAAATTGCGATTTGGTCTGTCGTGTGAATCAGCTATCAGCGACACTTCAAAGTGGTAGAAGAGCAGATGTAGCCATGATGTCCGAGCCAGCGTAGTCTCGAAACACAATTCGCCGAAACAAGATGAGAGGCACAAGTCCACGACTGCAGAACGGTGAATGAACAAAGCAAAATGGTAACAATGATAACGATAATGACGCAAACCGAGAGAGAAAAATCCGTAGCATAGCATCACCTAGCGGTAGGACTTAGCAGTACTTAGGAGCGCTGTCAAACCAAGCCAATACATGTGCATCCAACATAGAATCTAAAATGGTGGCATCTCGGTGGAGTTTTCCGCTGATCGCTCGCAATGATTTTGTCCGAAAAATTTAACTTTCGGACATCAAGCTGTGCAAAACATCGGTCGTGAATATGCACTCTTTCTATCAGGGAGGTCACGGTTCCTTCTTTAGGTCCAAAGTATCGAACGGGTTTGAATTATCGGCTTCCGAAAAATCGGTTGGCAACTGTACACCTCAGTCTGGGCTTCTGTACATTCTCGATGTTGTCATAATAAAGAAGATTGAAATACAACTGCAACCTTACTGCAACTTTAAGGGACCAAGAAAAATAGACACACACACAGTGATGTGATTGCTTCATCATTTCTGCCCAACTGTACCAAAGTACTTACCCCGCAACGTCTTGCTACATTTTACCAAAATGGGAGAAATTTGTGCCAACATTGCACTTAAAGTGTATATTTCACTTTTTCGATACTGAAACCAGTAAGCTCAGAGTTTTCTACACTGCCGGATCATTACAGTAGGCCTGTGCAATTTTTCAGACCTTTTGCTTATCGCTTCAGATAACACGGTGTTTGATTTCATCTTCGTGTCAAACACTGACAGTACTCTGAATCTCCACAATATTAATGCAGATTGTGTTTTAGGGCAACTTTGTCATGGGTCATGTACACCACAATTGCTCCGTAGAAAAACTACCTCAGAAAAAGAATATCTTTTTAACTTTTCTGAATGCCGCGACGGACCACAGATGTGTGATTGATGTGCGTTTGCTCATTTTTGACTGTCTGCTGTCCGATTGCATCTCTCGCCGACTCCTCCCTCTTGCAGCCTTTACCAAAACCAGCTGCCGGCAACAGGAGTGCCACTGCCGTGCCAGAGAGCAAACCACCTGAGGGAAAACTTTGACGACTACGTGCGCACGAGGACACTACAGAACTGGAAGTTCTGGATCGTATCCTTGGATGTCGGCTCTCGAGCAGCGTACGTGCATATAATCGATGACGGGTTAAGAATCCAGTAGACGCCCTACATTGAGCGCATGCTTTCTGCCTTCGATAACACTCCGTTGCACGTGCAGCCAAAGTCTGGTGGGAGGCAGCGAGCATGTGCTGAAGGCAGAAACCTGTCAGCGACTATAGAGACTGCTTAGCGTTACATGTAATGCCTCACTGTGAGCATTTCACGATTACCTCATCTCCAGCACAGTTTTACTGCTTTTGCTGTTGGGTCTGCGTCCCGAGAGATCCAAACTAATTTGAGAGAATGAAAGTTGGGCTGGTTAGTGTCCGCTCGATCAGTCCCCTCTGTCCTCTCCCTTAGTCCTTGTTTAGGTAGTTAGCGCCGTTTCCACCGCAAACAATATCGTTCTTGCGGCTGAGCTGCTGCCTGAGGCTCGACGAAAGAGAAGCTGTATGTTTGATGATGATCATTATTTGCAAATTCAAGGCGCGGCCATGGGGTCGAGAATGTCCCCAAATTACGCTAATATTTTTATGGGCAAGTTTGAGGAGACCTTTGTGTGGACTTACGCTAAGATTCCCGCCATATATCTTCGGTATATTGACGATATATTTATCATTTGGAACGACACTGAAGATGCACTCCTCTCTTTTCTAAGTTACCTCAACGGTTGCCACCGTACAATTAAATTTACCTGTAATTACTCAGCAAACTCTATGAACTTTCTCGACGTTAACGTTAAAAAGATGGGAAGCCATTTGATAACGGAGTTGTACAGAAAGCCTACAGACAAACGTCAGGTTCTACGCTATGATAGCTACCACCCGAAATGTAAAAAAAATAATATTCCTTACAGCCAATTCCTCCGGTTGCGTAGAATCTGTTCTGAAGAATCGAACTTTAAGGAAAACGTAACGTCCTTGAAGAATACACTATTCAAAAGAAAATATCCTGCTTCTATTCTCGACGACGCCACAAGAAAGGCATCCGCTCTGGAGCGTAGCACACTCCTTGAATCCACACGACAGCTTCACTCCAACGAAACAAGGGTTCCGTTGGTTATAAACTACTATTCGAACCTATCAAGCCTGAATTCCATATTGAAACGCCATTTAAACATCCTACATGCCGACGATAAACTTAAAAAAATATTTCCCGAATCACCATTTGTCACATTTCGTAAGCATCGGAATCTTGGGAGGATGTTATGTCCCTCGTATATAAAAAAACCCAATTCATGCGGTGGTTGTGGTCCTTGCCTCAACACTCCTTGCCAACTTTGCCCGTTCGTTTCGACCGCTGATAAAATTTCGAGCTACGCATCAGATTTCTACGTAAATATTAAACAGCATATCGACTGCAAAACTCCTGACGTGATATATATTATTAACTGCACGCTGTGTAAGAAGCAATACGTGGGAGAAACTAAAAATTCGATGAAAGAGCGATTTTATGGCCATAAGTCTGATATTGTAAATAAAGGACAAACACCAGTAGCTAAACACTTTAACTCCGACGACCACGACATTCATACGCACCTAAAAATTATCATCGTGGAAAGCAGTTTCAAAAATGATATTACGCGCAAAAATAAAGAGTCCTTTTATATAGACATATAATTTATTTATTTAGACATAGTGCACACTCATGTGTGCACTATGTCTAATCCTCTGATCTTCTTCACGCAGGTGAGTAATTGTCACTCATTGCATTGTAAACGATCAAGCAATACTTTCCTTTTCCTGCTGCCTTGCCCCCGGATGTGCTTAACCTTATTTATTGAGTGCATTTGTGTCACTCGTGATTTATTGTTAAGCGGTGACATTGAATCGAATCCGGGACCTGATGACGGCCAAGGGGGTGGTAACCCTACAATGGAAGAGATGGTGAAGGCGATTCTGGACACACAAAACGTGATTATGAGAGATCTAAGTCAAATAAAAAATAACCAAAAGCAATTTGAACACAAATTTGAAGGTCTAACAAAAAAAGTAAATCAAATTGAAGCAACAGTTCAAGAAATGAAAGAACAAAAAGTTCAAATCATAAGCATTGAAAAACATGTTAAGGCAATCGATGATGACTTAAAGGAATGCCAAAAAAAAATCGTCGACTTAGAAGATCGGAACCGCCGTAACAACCTCATGGTTTTCGGTCTTCCAGAGGCTCAAGGGGAAACAAATGACTCATTGCGGTCGAAAGTACTTGGTGATGTGTTTGAAGAAAAACTTGGAATTCATGTTAATACAGTCGAGCGTGTACATCGCGTGGGGCGAAAAACAAACAAAAACCGCCCAGTTGTAGTTAAATTTCTTGACTACGCAGAAAAGGAAAACGTGCTAAAAAAGCGAAGGTGTTTGAAAGGGACTAAAATAACGTTAGAACACGATTATTCTTGGCAGACTATTCAAAAGCGCAAACAGTTGTGGGAAACCAGTAAACCCAATCGCGATAACGGGGAAACTGTCTTCTTGATTCACGATAAGATTAAGATAGGAGGCCAAGTTTTCGAATGGGATGATAATGTGGGGCAAATATGCAAAGAAAGAAATCGACCAACTCGACAAAAAAGTGTAAAATGACGTCAAGCACACTCCGGGAAACCCCATCGAAAGACATTTCGACTTCTTTCCTTCAATGCGCAAAGTATTGTGAATAAAGTAGATGATTTGGAAACAATCTTGCTAACTCATGACCCCCACGTGATCGTCATCACGGAAACATGGCTTCACAGTGGTATTGGTGATAATGAAGTTATTCCGCCTTGTTACAGAATGATTAGGAAAGACCGAGGGTTAAGGGGCGGCGGCGTGGCTATTATCGCAAAAAGTTCGGTGGACCTGGTACCTTTAGATTGCGTTGTCAACGGGGAGGTGTTATGGTGTAAGGTTAAAGTTCACGGCAACGTGTTTGTTGTTGGTGCTGTATATAGGCCACCAAACACCGCCCCGAGGTTTTTAGAAGAATTGTATGATTACATGGCGTTGCGCTTCAATGACAAAACTAAAATTATTTTGACTGGAGACTTCAATCTTGCTGATATTGATTGGGCAAAGCAAAAACCAGGTAAAAATGAAATCGCGTCCTCCGAGCTTTTGTTAGATATAGCACTCAGTTTTAATCTTCAACAGTTAGTGGACAGCCCGACAAGAGTAACAGATACGAGCCAATCGATTCTGGACTTACTTTTTGTTAGCAACATAGTGGAAGCGGATAAAGCACATGTGCTCGACGGAGTGTCAGATCATAAAATGGTGTTTCTTGACTTAGAACTACATAAAACAGCTGCCGATAATGCTCGTCACGAACATACTGTCAGAGATTTTCAAAATGCTGATGATGTGTCCATCCTCGATTATTTAGATGAACATTTTGACCATTTTAGTCAGTTAAGTGATGTTACCGAATTATGGAAAACATTTAAGAGTATTGTTTCCTACTGTACATATCACTTTGTTCCGACAAGGGGCGTGAGAGCACAACGACATCACCCATGGGTAACAAGAGAAATTTTGCAAATAAAGCGAGAGATCAAGCGCAAAAGGAAAGCAAAACAAAATTCCTCAGACATTGCAAATTTGGGGCGACAATTGAAGAATCTTATTTCCCAAGCTAGGGAAAATTACTGTGGCAATGTGCTCTCTCGTTTCTTGCTGGAATCTCCGCAAAAATTCTGGCGGTTTTTCTCGTCGAAAAAAGAAGTAATAACAGAAGTGATGGTAAGCGATGAGGTTGTATCATGTCCCATTAAAGTGGCAGAGGAATTTAACACGTATTTTCAGTCAGTCTTTACAGTCTCGAGTGACCCGCCGGTAGACCACGTCAGCAGCTCTGATGAACCTTGTATGTCAGATTTGGTTGTTTCGGAAAGTGGTATACTTAATTTGCTTTTGAATATTGATGTAAAAAAGGCGTCGGGGCCAGACGACATTTCAAATGCGTTTCTGAAAAGATATGCTGAGTGGGTGTCCCGATATCTTTTCATAATATTTCAAGCCTCTCTCCAACAATCCAAATTGCCAGCAGACTGGTTGTGTGGTAAAATTATACCCATTCACAAATCTGGAAACAAAATGACAGTCCAAAATTACCGTCCTATATCATTAACGTCGACTTGCTGCAAACTGCTGGAACACATTATTTCAAATCATGTCACTCAGTACTTAGAAGAAAACAACTTAATATACAAACATCAGCACGGTTTTAGACGGGGTCTATCGACGGTCACACAATTAATTGAGTGTGCGCATGAGTTCTCATCTGTTGTAAATGAGCGGGGTCAGGTTGACGTCGTGTTCATGGATTTTTCAAAAGCGTTCGACCGCGTGCCTCATAACAAATTAATTGAAAAGCTTCACCTTGTGGGTCTAAACAGCAATATAGTGTCGTGGGTCCGGTCTTACCTAACTAACAGAACACAGTATGTCTACTGCAATGATGCATGCTCTACCCGCCTTGCAGTGTTTTCAGGTGTGCCACAAGGGTCGGTATTAGGTCCACTTTTGTTTTTACTGTATATAAATGATATTGCAGATGATATGCCGCCAGCTGTCCAGGTAAAGCTATTTGCGGATGACTGCATGTTGTTTTCAAAAGTGCGTACAGTCGAAGACCAAGACTTGCTTAATGCCTCTCTAGAAAAACTTTACTTGTGGTGTGAAAGGTGGGGTATGGTAATTAACTTTGATAAAACAGTATTCTGCAGCATTACAAACAAACGAAACATTTTAGAATATTCCTATAACATAGGTGGCGTGCAACTGCGAAAGGTGGACGAATTTAAATATTTAGGTGTTATTTTTAGTTCTACCATGCGATGGAACAGTCATGTAGATTACGTTTGTTCAAAGGCCTACAAAAAGTTATTATTCCTCAGAAGACAACTTAGGCATGCCAATAGTGATGTTCGACAACTTGTGTACATGTGTTATGTTCGCCCATTGTTAGAATATGCATGCACTGTATGGGACCCGTATAGAAAATGCCACGAATCACAAATTGAAAGAATACAAAATCTGGCTCTTCGATTTATCTTCTCCAGATATAAACGTACAGAATCTGTTTCTTCAATGAGACAAGAGGCGCAGCTTGACTCGCTGGCAAAGCGACGGAAAATATCAAGGTTAAAAGAACTCTTTTTCATAACGACTGGAATGACAAAGCTAGATCCGCAGCTTTACTTGCGGCCTTCAACGTCTCGTTCCCAAAGGACTAGCAACGTCAGGGCGATTGCTCCGTATCAATACAAAAATGATGTATTTAAGTATTCTTTCTTTTGTAGGACAATAGTAGAGTGGAACGCTCTGCCAAACGAAGTCGTCAGCTGCTCTAATCTCAAGTCATTTGAATTATCATTGCGCGAATTTTTAACTGAATAATGTATGTGTGCGGAATACATCTTCAGATGTGCAGGGTGTGACGCACCACTGCATGTGCATAAGTGCTCACTTGAGTGTGAATGCATTTTGCTTGGCTTGTACAACTTATTTTTCTCTCCTGTGTTGACCGTAAGGTTCACAGTATTGTAAATAAATAAATAAATAAATAAATATATCTAAATTTAAAACACTAACCCCACTTGGTATGAACATTTCAAAAGGAAACTTATATAGGCTCTTGTAGGTTTTTAGTTTTTAGTATACTACAGGCAAACCACCTCCCCCATCGCGGAGGAGAGCGGGGGAGAGCTAAAGCTCTTTGAGGGGAGAGCTAGAAACATTGGGATGTGGGGACGTCGCCCGCTAACTTCCCTCCTCTTTCCGGTGTTTTTTTTTTTTTTTTTTTTTTTTTTTTTTTTTTGCGGGGAGGTGGGAGATTGAGTGGAGGCGTTCTAAGGAGTATTTCTTGGTATTCTGTTGAGCGGTGCCACCCACGTGTGACATTTCTGGTGTCCGTTTACACACACTTCGGGCTTATTTATGACCTTTGTTTGCTTCAGCGTTATACTGGCTTGGGCTCACTCGACTTGACCCCTGTATGTTGTTATTTTTCTGGATCTGCAGCTCTAACTCTAACGTGACGGAGGCCGTTGCCAGTGATGTATTTTCTTGGTTTCGCTAACGAGTGCCGCGACCATGTTACCCTTAAAACTACCACTTCTCTCTTTTTTCTTTTTTATATGTGTTTTGTTGGAATGTAGTTTTTTCATGCTCAAGTGTTTTTACTTGTACTATTATACATATGACTTTTTTCTTTCGCTTTTTCCAATGCTCCTCCTCTCCCTTGGTCTCTCTAAAAGCGCTTTGCAACTGTATTTTCTGCACACTTGAAGAAGGGAAGTCTCTTCCCGAAACGTCGTGTATTAAAGCCTCTACTGCTGTTCAAACATTTTTCTACGTCTACGACTTTCTTGCTGAAGACTTGTTCATTAATTCGATATAGCCAATAGATTGTCTGTTAAAAAGGTAGTTTTTAACGGGATTTTTTTGTTCTAAATATTTGGGTGTTTGGTAGAGACAATAATTCAAAGTATTCAGGTTCACTATAAACAGGTTCGACTGTATTAGTAGTGGCGGTAGACGTTTCTAACTTTTTGTTTTGGCAAAATGTAAGCTTCAGGAAGAGCTTGATCAGTGCCACAAATTCTCTCAGATATGTGAAGCCAGCATTTGCCATCCGGCAAAAAGCCAGACGCATCCAAGTGTCTACACGGTCGTTACGAGGCTGCGAGAGCTTGTAAGACGAAACGTCCTTACTCTTAGCCTCGACACTCCACGTGCGCGTTGGGTCTTCCAGCCCTGGGAGTCGCTCGAGTTGTGACGTTGCCCGATGTCGAAGCTTTCACTTCTTGCATAGTTGAAATATTTGTGATGGCATACGGTGTTCGACCAATTTGTCAAACTCGTGATTTTTGTAAAACCTTATTTCTCGAACGATTTTAAGATTTCAAATTGAAATCCTGTCGTCGTATAGCGATAAGACAACGGTTGGCGAGCAGAGACGGCTTTCCTTGACCAAGTCTGCCGCAACAGTTCAGCCTGCTGCTGGAGCCCCTGCTGGAGTCGTACAACCAGACGGTGTCCAAGGCTGGGCTGGACGAGATGTGCAAGACGGTCCTCGTATGGGTGGAGCAGAATTGCTCCCTCCGGGCCCTCAGGCCAGGTGAGGCACGCAGCCCCGTACCCGGGGCTACCTGCTGCAAAGACCGGGCTTGAACCACTGAACGAGCTATCCTTTAGAGTCACGATACTTCGGTCATCTTGGCGCTTAAAGGGACCATGAAATGATTTCTCAACTTCTTCCTCCTTAGCTTTCCTCCTCAACTCAAAAGCGAAAGGAGAAATCACGTGGTCTTCACGTAGCATTTCACCGGAACCGATGACTCCGAGCTTTCACCATGCTTTTTAAGCACACCATGGAACTTTTCCTTCGCGAGTGAACGATAAGTGCCATTATGGGACTCGTTGGCCACGAGCGCAAACCCAAATATTTGTCGACGGATCCGTCGTTGACGAGCGCATACGTCCGGGAGACGCGGTGCCCGTGTTTAATGCGCGAGCTGGGTTCAGCCGATGTGCTTGGGCACTTCGGATGCGTCGCAGTGAAAAGGCGGAAGTGCTTTCAGGGGAAAGAAAACAAGAAATACCAGCCCGCTACATTTAAATTCATGTCATGGTCCCTTTAAAATCTTGGGTGACAGTTATCTTACGCTTTACCTGAAATCGCAAGACACCTTTTTCAGTAATCCGGAAATATTAAAATATTTGGACGGGGCTAACCAATGTTGCCCGAGCTTCTGGACACCGCAACTAAAGGTCATGAAGTTGCGTTTTCGCATCCTAACGATCGCCAACTGCTCTCACTTTGCACTAAACACCAGAATGGCGGCTCCCAGTTGGTACGACTTGCGGGTTGCATTTGCAGTCGCCGCAAGCATGACGCGTGCTTGCGGCAACCAGGTTACTTCTGTAGGAGTAACCAGGTCATTTCAAAAAACTTTTGCGTTGCAGATTTCGGGTTTCTTTGGTTCTTATTTTTACAATGTACTAATGACTTGCTTATCAAAATATAAATACCGACATCTTGTAAACCCTGAGATGGGAAACGATGAAAAAACGAATGAAAACAACAAAATCTCAAATGCAGCTGAATTGTATTGATATGAGCATACCAATAAATAGACTTTCACACAAAAGGAAAGGAGAAAGGGCAAAAAATAACTCAAAAGCAAAAAACAAGACGGCCAACGCGTTCACCCCAGACAGCCTGAACCACTCCCCGGCTCCAACAACCTTCGGAAAGGGAGCCGACCACCCAAACAACAACAACCCCACGGTCACGAAAACATGGTAACCTCCAAACCGATAAAGCCTAGTCCCCATTTCCTACTCCAAGCAAACGCTTCCCGGTTCCCCACCCCCCCCCCCCTTCTCAAGGTTTACAAAGCTCCCCTCATACAAGCAAAAACTCTTTCAATCGATCACTGATAACCAAGGACAGCTGGCTCACACAATTCCCCCGCTCGTGAATGCACAAAGTCTCCTTAATTAGCCTTCTAAACAATTCTTTTTCATTACACAGAACGGAAGTTTCATCCCAAAGATGGGAACAAAAATTACAAGAACTAACATGATTAACCAATTCAGAATTCTGCGCCAAATTCTTTACACACCTTTTATGCTCTGCAAGTCGGTCATTCAAGCAACGCCCCGTCTGACCAACATAACACAATCCGCAGTCAAAGGGGATCTTGTAGACCACCTCTGCGACACAGGAGACTGAGGGATCTCTGTGTTTTTTCCCGCAACATCCCTCACGTCTGAAGGCAAACGGAGTAAGCCTGTCTAAACGGAAGTCTGTCCTAAAAACCACATTAACGTTAAATTTCGCACCCAAGGCTTTTAGGCTATGAGAAAAACAATGAAGATAAGGAATCACAGCAAAGATTCTACATTGAACCCTCTAGCGGTCACCGACGCGCGTACAAGCAGTCTACTTGCACTAGAAACAATAAAATCTAAACTATAACCCGCCGACAGTAAACGTTTGATTTGAACGTCGAATGCGTTACCAACACAATGAAAACAACATTTTTTCAGTGCACTGCCAATTAATGATCTTGGTGAAATCATTAATCAAAAATTAATCATTAAATGCCACTATTTATCTTTTTTTTGCACAACAACCAGGGCACGCAGGCGAAATCTGTTTTCTATTTTTTTACTTTAGAAGGGTCAAAGGGCAACATCCACAAATGTTTGACCGAAGTCCAGAAATCATTGCACCCCCCTTTAAAGTGTGACGGCAAATGAAGAGGCTTCCGCGGGCCAAAGGCTTGCAACGTACGCTGCTAAAGTGTGCAGTCGGACCCTACTTGTGACGTGCAACGCGATTGCCGAGCAAGCGCGGAAGATGCGGTCATTTGCAAAGTGGGAGATTTCGTTGGACGACGCCGACGTGTTTCGAGAACGTAGCAGTGATGATGACGGGACTGACATCGTCAGTGTGGACGAGTCATAGTCTAGTCGCGAACGGGCTGAGAACAAGAGGGAGCAGCTTCAGTTGTCCAGCATGAACTTCCTAGTTTCAATAACGCCTTCATGCACCTTGCGTGCGCGCACCAAAGCACGCCAGAAGGCATCGATCGCGTGTTGGAGGCTGGGCTTTCGAAACAGATACTTTGCCGTTCTCACGTGTTCGCAGTAAAATGCGCATCTAAATGTTTTCTTTTTGCTGATGTGCAATTGGGGGGGGGGGGGGGCGGGGTTGAGTTGATTTACAATCGAGTCGACTTACAATCATGTAAATACGGTACTGTACAGCTGATTAGATATACAACAATCGAAGCTTTTCCCCCAAGAGTAGCAAACTGAAATCAAATAGTATAGCCCGCAGAAAATGCATGTAGGTACAGTGTGAAAAGTCGAGGGAAAACAGGACCTGGGGAGCTACACATAATTTTTCAAAAGTACCCACCTCTGTCAAGCTGAAATAATGTTGATGATGGTCTACTGTTGGGAAATATTGCTATGAATCTGCATTTGAATATGTTGCACACTGGATTATGGTAGAACAATTCTTGTATATTGACTTTTTACAGCGAAGCTAGGTTCTGGCAGATCATCTCCAGGGTCAGACCGGGCGTAGACTAAGTTTTGTACAGTTAAAGCTGCAGATGTCGGCGCCGCACGCGTGCGCCTTCCGCATTTAAAAGATTCAAAGTAAATAACCAAAATAAAGCGTGGACAAGCATGCGTGCCAGGTGCCATTTGTTTTAGGCTTTTGCTTTAGAACAGTTACGGCTGCAGATGCTGGCGCAGCACATGCTCGCCTTCCCCGTATAAAATATTCGAAGTAACCAAAATAAAGCGTTGACAAACGTGCTTGCAAGATGCCCTTTGTTTTAGGGTTTTGATTTAGAACAGTTAATGCTGCAGACGCCGGCGCCGCGCGCGTGCGCCTTCCCTACACGCGGCATCTCTCCGCCCCTGACATTGCGCAATGCCGCGCGCTCTTCTGCAGCCACCTGCCAAAGATCGTGCCACTGTCCTTATCAGTTGGGCTTCAGACTCCACATGGGTTGCACCCGTGTCGTACGTTTCGAAGAGGAGCAGCGGGAGGGTCTAGCCTTGTCCGTCCGGCGTCCGTGCTCACATCGATTGCACTGCCTCTGGGATCAGCCCACTTTTAAAAAAAAACAATGTACGCCCGCATGGGGGTTCGAACTCAGGACCGCTTGCTTACGAGGCAGACACCTTAACCACTACGCTACACTCCAACGTTGCATGTAGCCGCTCAACGTCTATACAGGAGAGGGTGCTGCAGTCAAATGCGTATATAATCGCGTTAAACTTTGCTTGCATTCGCTCAACGTTTATAGGCGAGAGGGCACTGCGGTCAAATGCTCAAATACGTATTTAACCACGTTCCATACCACAGATTCTCTTTCTGACATAGACCATTGACTTAAGCGGTGGAGATGTGTTCCCACGGCTTCTAGCGGATCCGAGCTGATCCGCTAGAAGAACCACTGGCTCTGCATTTCACCGACCATAAAGCAGTAATAATGAAGTCAAAACGCAACCTGGAACTCAGCACTACCTATGAGCAATAAAAAAAAATCAGCACCATCAGCACTACCTATGAACAATAAAATCAGTATCATCAGCACCACCAGAGCTTTGCCCCAAACAACATCTTTCACCACGTGGAGATGCGGCCTTTTTTTTTTGGGAGCTTTTTTATTTAAACAGAATTTTTTATAAAGGCATGGGAAAAAGGGAAGGGGGGACCGTTACATTGTTGCATTGATGATGTCTTCACTGTGTGTTTATGAGCCTATGGGGAATGATCATCACGGTATGTTGAATAATTAGCTAGTCATTTAATTAATTTTGAATGAATGGTTAGATGAGTCATGTTGCTATTACACTTCAAAGTTGCATAAAGGCAACAGGTCTTGAGTTATTCATGGATCAGTTTTTGCATTCTTGTCGTGTTTTCACATTTTTGTTAATTTTAGTAAATCTTCCCATCTAATGCCAGCGAGACCAATACATAGGCAGTGAAGAAGTTATCCATGTCACGTCACCCCCCCCCCTCCTTTTTTTTTATCTCCTCCAATTAAAAACGAACATCAACCATAACAAACTATAGATTTCTTTGGTTCTTGAATTGGGGTTGTTTTATAACCTGTTGTAGACGGTACCCAAGTTCATTCACGTATCAGTCGGTGCCATAGCAGAGTAGGACTTTTCGCTCTTGAATTGTGGTTGCTCTAAAACGAAATGTACTAGACAGTGTAAGTAGGTTCTAAAGGTTGATGCATCGGTTGGCATTCAGCATAATACGGCCTATCAGCACTAGTACTTGATTTAGTTTCCCTTGAAACTGCAGGTGTGCTGGACTCTCTGAGGTACCTGAGCACCACCACAAACATCTTGTCCGACCCAAGTCGACTGCCCGAAGAAGCCACGCAAGCGGTTACCAAGAAAGAACTCGTGCCACGGTAAGACTTTAGTGCATTCTGTGTACGACGTGTTACAAGTACCTGGGAGTATATACACATATAGACATGCCTAACAGCATGATTGCTGCAGCTACTATTGCTCAGAACCATAGCTCTGTAATGTAGTACTGCCAAGGAAATGTAAAGCAACCCTACATGGGGATGGAACCAAAGTGCCTTGTTGGCAACTTCTGTGGCGCTTTCTTGTCCCCAGTGTGGAGTTGCCAAAAGGACATTTCTGCAATGCCTACTAGCGAAGTTGATTAAATGCTCGCCCAATGAGACTCTGCCCTTCCGGGCCTGTTACGCGAGGTTTTCATACTTTTTCTCTGCTTCCTCCTAGTCCTATGTTGAATGTATTTTTTACATAATGAATTCATACTATATTGCATATTTCTCTGGAGAGTGTTTTAGGGTATCTCTAAGACAGATCTGGAAATAGTGCCTGTACCTGCCAATGCATAAGAGCTTGATAGCATGTGGAAAAAAAAATCGTGCTGCACACCCGAACATGGCCGGTTCAAATCCCCTGCTAGTTTCTGTAAGAATGGGTGCTGGAGCAGCGCGCATTGACATAATTATTGTATTTACACGATTGTAGGTCGACTCCCCACATTGCATGTTAGCAGAAAAAAAATAAAAAATAGTAGTTTAGGGTGCATTCCACGGCGAACATTTTACAGCGAAGCTGTAAATAACTCGTAGGTCGGATCTTTTCGTGTCAATGTTCTCCTGGAAAAAAAAAATTTGAGGACCCCTAAGCACTTCTTATGAGTTGTGAATGCGAAAGTATGAATGTCGTTCTTCCTCTCCCTTAGTTTGTCTGCGGCGTAGTGGCGTGGACAGCCGCGTTTCGCCGGCCGACGGCCGAGTGCACACTCGTGAAGTGGCCGCGATGCACAGAGGTCGGCCGTGTAGCATCTCCGGAGTTTGCCTGGGCGGGCTCTGCCAGCTCTGCGGGCGACCACTCCCTCTTACCGGCGGTCGGGGTGCTGCGTGCGCTGCGCCGCCATGGAGAGGGCTTCTGTGGTGGCATGTTTTGGAACTACGCCGCACGAGAGCCAATCGGAGCCTCTTCCCTTGATGATGCGCGCCAGCCAATGGGAGCCTATCCATCAGATTTCTGCTACAGACGACATTGGGACAGGGGAAGGCGCCGTTTGGCACAGTTTCAAAGCTGATCAAGTCGGCTTGCTCCGTGGGACGGAACCTTCAGCGATTCATATCATGCGTACAACATACAACACAGCATTCATTTCAATAAAGAACAAGCACGAAACAAGCATCTGAACCATGTAATTGATAAGGCACTATAACAGTGCGGAGCACATAGCGCTCACCGCATATGTTTCCTGGTAAAGATTACTTTTGCAGCTCGCGACGTGGGGAGTGACGTCACTAGCCTTTCATGCAGGGTGTTTCACGTAAGAGTGACAAAAATTCTTAAAATCGGTGTATTCGAGGTAAAAGTAGGCATGGGCGAATAGACGATTTTGGGTCCGAGTCGAATTCGAAGCGAATAGTGATTTTGGTCGAATAATTTTGAATCGAATAGTTTGAATAGTACAAGCAAAAATACCACAAGATATGTTTAAACTATAGTTTTATATTACTCTTATTTGGTATTAGATATACTGTAATTGTTAATTTCAAGTGTATTGAGTTCGGTAGCATGAAAGGGTCGAAACGGTCGGAAGCTTGCGCCAACTGGCCGTAAATCCAAGCCAGAGGAAGTGAAACCTGTCTATATCGAACTCGCAAAAAAACGTCTATCAGTTCGATATAGCGGGTAATTCGATATAGAAGTTTTAATGAATTTGACTCTCAAAAATCCACTTTCTGTTGAAATATTACACAATGAAGTAGTCTTGCATCTTCTGCTGCATTTTCTTCATTGCATCGGCGATAACGACATTTTTCTACGCTATTGACGGACCCCAAAATGCTGAGGCCGCTGCCTTCTATATTCGCGCATTAGCTCCGAACTATACCGAGAGCACGGAGCACGTCCAACGGGAGCACCTTCTCCCTGCAGAGCGCCGTTTTGCTCTGCAAGTTGGCTTTCCCCTAAAACATGTGGCGGCGTTGGGGGAAGCCAACTAGCAAAGCAAGCTGGCTTTTTTTGTTCTCTCTCTGGGCGTTCGCGTCAATTTGGAAGAAAAAATAGGGAATTGTAGTAGACCGTTTTTTTCCTCTGCTCTCAAAAGATATATTTTCTTTCCTTCCGAGCAATCGACGCAACCGCCCGGAAAAAAAAAAAAAAAAAAAAAAAAAAAAAGCCAGTGTGCTATGCAAGCTGGCTTTCCCCCAGTGCAGCCACTCGCGTTGGGGGAAAGCCAGCTCGCAGAGCAAAACGGCGCTCTTGGCAGTTCGATATATCGGTAGCGGCTGCTATTTTTGTTCGATGCAACCATAGTTTTTGCTATATATTATCACTGTAACATTACTGTGCACAAAAATTGTTCGATATAAGGAATAATACGATGTAAACGGGTTCGATAGTCGGGTTTGACTGTATTTAGAAAGGTGGGATAATTCTATATTGTCGAATAATTCGATATTGCCGAATAATTCGATATTGGTGAATATATCAATATTGTCGAATACTTAAATTCGATTCGAAGCGAATGCCGAATAGAGCAGAATTCGATTGGTTATTCGTAATAACCGAATATTCGCCCATCCCTAGGTAAAAGGATAATTTTCTGGGGACCGCATTGCTCGTAGTGACGGACGTCAGGAAATGTGCGATACTTACTAATTTGCTAATTAACTAAAAATTACAAATAAACTTTTTAATTAGTGAAAATGGACATATGGTTCCAATTAGAAACTTCCTGAGCGTCATAGAAAACGACTAAATCAGTCATTTTCAGAAAGACTTTGAGCACGTGAGAAGCGTGGTAGCGTGCTAAAGTTACCACTCGTGGAGCAGGTACAAGGCTGGGGCTCTCATAAGAGACTGAAAAATCGCGCAGGCGCCTTACCGCGACCGTCAGGCTTGTACCTGCTCCACGAGTGGTAACTTTAGTGCACCACTATGCTTCTCATGCACTCAAAACCTTTGTGAAAAGGACTGATTTAGGAGGTCTTGATGACTGTCAGCAAGTTTCTAATTGGAACCTTATGTCTATTTTCACTAATTAAAAAGCTAATTAGTAACTTTTAGTTAATTAGCAAACTAATTATGATATTTACTCGCATAATGAATGCACCCCCACAATAGGTACCAATATTTTTACTTTTTATTTTTCTCTTGCATAATAACGCACCTCCAATTTTCGGCTCCGCGAGTCTCGATTTACGTCCAGTTTAGTTAGCCACCAAGCCAATTTTCTTTTACCGCCAAGCGGTCAGGCGAAGTCAAGCTAAGCCACTCTCGTAATGGCCACAAGTGCTAGTTGCTGTAGTTGCAGAAGTGATCAACCGTAAAACCGAGCGGCGCGCACACTTGACGAAGCTTGGGTCGAGGAATTGCCCAGCCCCGGACATTCTTCGCCTATTGGATGCATTGATGTCAACAGGGTGTCTAGCAACCGGGAAAATCGAGAATTGTCAGGGAAATTTTAATTACCGGGAAAAATCAGGGAATTGTCAGGGATATTGTCAAAAAGCGAGCCCAGTCAGAGAAAATGAACCGGAAACGCCATTGAGTGCCCTGAGCAAAGACATGAGGACTTAGGGGCAGAAAAATAGGCAACAAATTCTGCTTAGAGCGAAGCGCGAGCTCTGCTCACCCGATGTAATGTGTGCTGCCCGATGCAAAGGGAACAGCCGACAAATCCAGTCCAAGCCTTGGATTGAATTGGATTGGATTGAGGGTGCGACACTAGTTAGATCCAATTAAAGCTACTAGATTTAGTAACAAATGGGAAAGTCGCAAATCCCAATCCAATCCAAGCCGAAAGTATCCGAAAGTGTGCATCTGGCTACTTGACGTGTGCGGTTGAGCGTCATGTTTTCATCATGTTTCCGAAAGTGGCCTCCTCATTGATGATGTCAGCGGCAAGAAAGTGCTCGTTTAATCGGGACTGGAGGAACCCGAATATTTTGGAATGTGCAAGTTGGATTAAGCCCGTGCAAAACGATCCTCACAGTGCTTGATGCTCAATGCCTTGTGTTGTAATGGTCATATATTTAACCGCCTCTACAGTGGTCAGGGAAAACCTGGAAAAGTCAGGGAATTTCAAAATAATAATTTGCTAGACACCCTGTGTCGACAAAGACGTCGTCGTCTGTGGTCCACTTTCGGACAGTGAAATCGTGAAGGTGGTGGGGCCTAATTTTACATACCCTGGGTAAATGCGTTTATTTAATTCGTAACAGAACGGCGCAGCGAGGTGCATGCTGCGTCATATTGTGAGAGTGTCTGGTAGCCCCTGGTAACAGCCGTCTCCGTGAATGAAACTTGATCCGTGCCAGCAGGCCTTGGCGGTGGGTGGTTGGACTTCGTACGAGTTCTTATACGCGTAGTCGCAGTATATACCTGAGTGCACTGCCAGATACTAGCAATAGAGCACATGCTGTGGGACTTTCCTGGCTACCACAACCTCCGGCAGCAGCACCTCCCACGACACTTTAGGACTTTCCTCGACTTTCATTCGTTAAAAGGCACGTCGAAAGCGCCCTGAAAAGGTTCGCAATTAACAAAGCATGGTTACTCTGGCGCGCCCCCGACCAGCTGTGCCTCCATCAGTGGAGACGTGCCACAGCACCTTGCCGTTTCATATTAGCATCTAATATGACATTTGCACGAAGTGTGTAAATGAAAAAGTTTAACCCCGTGTAATGAATGCCCCCCCCCCCAAATATGTGTAAATTTTTCTGGAAAAAAAGGCTTGAGGTACACCTAAGCACTTCTTATGAGTTGTGAATGCAAAAGCATGCTTGTCATTCTTCTGCGTCGGCCAATCACTCGCTCTCCCAGCTCTCCTTGCCACCCTGACCTTGGACGCTTCGTGTTACCGGTGCGCTCGCGGCGCGGACAGGCAGCGCCATGG